CCGGGAATTCCGGGAGCTCCTGGGATTGGGGACGGGGATGGGGAATCGTCTTCTCCTGGAGCAGTTTGGGTTTTCCATCGGTGCTTGGGGTGGAAAGGGTGGGGGAGGTTTCAGAGCAGAAATCCGTGGGAATGTCACAGAAATCCAGGGAAATCAATCAGAAATCCATGGGAATGGATTTGGGATTGGGGTTTGGAACAGAAGGGACAGAAATCCAGGGACATCCACCAGAAATCCATGGAAATGTCACAGAAACTCCCCCTAATCCCAGATTTTCAGCCCAGCCCTGCTCTGCCCCCCTCAGTCCCGTCCCCCGGCGCCGATCCCGGGCTGGGGGCGCGGGGGGTCCCGGTTTTCCCGGGAATGCCGCAGCTGGGGGGTCCCGGTTTTCCCGGGAATGCCGCAGCTGGGGGGTCCCGGTTTTCCCGGGAATGCCGCAGCTGGGGGGTCCCCGTTTTCCCGGGAATGCCGCAGCTGGGGGGTTTTGTGCAGCTGGCGCTGAAGCACCGGCAGGGCAAGAACCACAAGATGAGGATCATCGCCTTCGTGGGCAGCCCCGTGCACGACAGCGACAAGGACGTGAGTGGGGCGGGGGGCCCCCTGTTCCCGCGGGATCCGGGCCCGGATCCTGCTGATCCCGGGGAATTCCCGCTTTTCCCAGCTGGTGAAGCTGGCCAAGCGCCTGAAGAAGGAGAAGGTCAACGTGGACATCATCAACTTCGGGGAGGAGGTGAGAATCCTGGGAATTGCCGCCTTCCAGAGGGGATTCTGGGGCCGGGAGATCCTGGTGGGTGTTTTTGGGAATGAGGGCATCCTTGAGGATTCTGGGGGCTTTTCCGAGGTTGGCATTCCAGGGAAATCCGCAATTCCCAGCCTTTCCCTGGAGCCCAATCCCTCCCCATCGCCGAATTCCCTCTGGGAATCGGTGTTCCCAGAGCCCTCTCCTGCTGCACAAGCTCCTGGGGAGTTCCGAGGGCACAGAGGGAGCCTCTGGATTCCTGGAATTCCGGAGGTTCTGTGGCTCGGAGATGGAATTGCCACCTTCCAGCCACGCTGCCGAACCAGCAGTTTGTTAATTTTCTGACAAAGAGGAGCACAAAATAATCGTGAGAGCTCTGGTAGAAACTCGTAAGCGTTATCAGGTGGCCGAGCAGCTTTTATGAGCATTTTAAAACTTCTGAAAGAGGCAGAGGGAAAAGTTAAGTCCCGTGAAAAGCGGAGCGGTGCTCTCCCAGCACAAAATCCCAGATCCTGCCACGCCGCCCTTCCGCAGGAGGCCAACACGGAGAAGCTGACGGCGTTCATCACGGCGCTGAACGGCAAGGACGGCAGCGGCTCGCACCTGGTGACGGTGCCGCCGGGGCCCAGCCTGGCCGACGCGCTCATCAGCTCGCCCATCCTGGCGGGCGAGGGCGGCGCCATGCTGGGCCTGGGCGCCTCCGACTTCGAGTTCGGCGTGGATCCCAGCGCCGACCCCGAGCTGGCCCTGGTAGGGATCCCAGAGTTCCTGGCAATTCCCGGCAATTCCCAAATTCCCATCCCACAGAGCCCAAATCCAGCACAGTGCTGGCCCTGGTAGGGATCCCAGAGTTCCTGGCAATTCCCGGCAATTCCCAAATTCCCGTCCCGCAGAGCCCAAATCCCACACAGCGCCGGCCCCGAGCTGGCCCTGGTAGGGATCCCAGAGTTCCTGCAATTCCGGCAATTCCACAGAGCCCAAATCCGGCACAGCGCTGGCCCCGGTGGGGATCCCAGAGTTCCTGGCAATTCCCAAATTCCCATCCCACAGAGCCCAAATCCGGCACAGCATCAACCCCGAGCTGGCCCTGGTAGGGATCCTGTGGTTCCTGTAATTCCCAAATTCCCATCCCACAGAGCCCAAATCCAGCACAGTGCTGGCCCTGGTAGGGATCCCAGAGTTCCTGGCAATTCCCAGCAATTCCCGGCGTTCCCATCCTGCGGGACCCAGCCCCGGAATGCCGGGGCTCGGGCAGCTCCCCGTGCCAGGATCCCGCAGGAGCCGGGATCTGCCGTTCCCGGATCCCAGATCCCGGATCCCAGCCCCGGTGTGTCCGCAGGCGCTGCGGGTGTCCATGGAGGAGCAGCGGCAGCGGCAGGAGGAGGAGGCGCGCAGGGCGGCCGCTGCCTCGGCTGCCGAGGCCGGGATCGGCGCCGCCGGCGGGGACGGTGAGGGGCCGGGAGCGGGATTGGGATGGGACTGACGGGGTTTGATGGGATTCGTGGGATGGGATTTGTGGGATCAACGGGATGGGATTTGTGGGGCGGGAATGAGGAGGACTAAAAAGCAGGATGGGTTTGGGATTAACCCTTCCCTGGGTGGGTGGGGACGCCCATCCCAGGACACGCCCTGGATTCCCGGGACCCCCCGAGCATTCCCGGGATCCCGAGCATCCCGGGACACGCCCTGGATTCCCGCAGAGTCGGACGAGGCGCTGCTGAAGATGACCATCGGGCAGCCGGAGTTCGGCCGCGCGGGGCTGCCGGACCTGAGCTCCATGAGCGAGGAGGAGCAGATCGCCTACGCCATGCAGATGTCCCTGCAGGGCGCCGGTGCGTGCCGCCGGGGAACACCGGGGAACACCGGGAAACACCGGGAAAACCCCTGGGAAACACCCTTGGGAAACACCCTTGGGAAACACTGGGAAAACCCCTGGGAAATACGGAAGAACTGGGAAATACCCTTGGGAAACACCGAAAAAAACCCTGGGAAGTACCCTTGGGAAAACCCCTGGGAAATCCCTGGGAAACCCTCAGGAAATACCTGGAAACCCTCAGCAACACCCTGGGAAATCTGGGAAAACCACAGGAAATCCCTGGGAAAACCCTCTGGAAAATCCCAGGAAAACCCTTGGGAAGTCCCAGAAAAACCCTCAGGAAACCCCAGGAAATCCTGGGGAAGTGCAGTCCGGGCGGGCCCCGGGGTTTCCATGGAATTTCGGGATTTTGCAGAGTTCGCCCAGGCTGAAGCGGCCGAGGTGGACAGCGGAGCGGCCATGGACACCTCGGAGCCTGCCAAGGTGGGGCTGCGGAATTCTGGGATTCCCGGGATGGGAATGGGACCTTCCCCCATCCCAAACCATTCCGGGATTCCCTGGCCTGCTTCCTCTGGGATTCCGGGGATGGATCCCGGATCCTGCCCTGGTTATTCCGTGGGTTCCCCATCCTGCGCTCCAGGGATCCCAGTACCTCCAGATCCCTCTGGGCTGGGATGCTCCCAGATCCCCCAGGACCATCCCAAATCCCCCGGGACGATCCCAAATCCTCCAGGACGATCCCAAATCCCCTGGGATGCTCCCAAATCCCCTGGGACAATCCCAAATCGCCTGGGATGATCCCAAACCCCCCGAGCTGACCCCAAATCCCCCAGGAATGACCCCAAACCCCCCGAGCAGACCCCAAACCCCACGAAATGACCCCAAACCCCACGAAATGACCCCACACCCGCAGGAGGAGGACGACTACGACGTGATGCAGGACCCCGAGTTCCTGCAGAGCGTCCTGGAGAACCTGCCCGGCGTGGACCCCAACAACGAGGCCATCCGCAACGCCATGGGCTCGCTGGCCTCGCAGGCGGCACGGGGCGAGAGCCGCGGCGAGAACCGGGGCGAGAACCGCGAGGGCAAGGAGCAGGACAAGAAATGAGCGCGAGTAAACGGCATTTCCGGGGAATAAACGGCATTTCTGGGGAATAAATGGAATTTCCAGGGAATAAAAGGAGGTTTTTTTGAGATTTCTGGGGGATAAACGAAATTTCCGGGGAGTAAATGGAATTTCTGGGGAATAAACGGGATTTCTTGAAAATAAATGGGAGATTCCAGGGAATAAACAGAATTTCCAGGCAATAAATGGAAATTCTGGGGAATAAATGGAATTTTTCGGGTAATAAATGGGATTTACAGGGAATAAATGGAATTTTTTGGGAGACTTCTGGGGAATAAAAGGAATTCCTGGGAAATAAAAAGGGATTCTTTGGGAATAAAAGGGATTCCTTGGGAATAAAAGGAATTCCTTGGAAATAGAAGGAATTCCCGGGGAACGCCTGCGGTGATCAAAGCGATTTCACGGGCACTGTGGGAATAGCAGCAGTTCCCCGTGCTGGAGTTGTTGGGAGCGGGAATTCTCCGGAATTCCCGGGAATTCGGGAATTGGGAATTCTCGCAGCAGCTCCCGGCATGCCCCGCGCGCTGTATACCGTCAGACTGGGGGCGGGGCTGTACTGTTAATTGACATAGTCCTCAACCAATCACCGAAAGGGAAGGGCGGACCTTGTCGTTCAGGCGGCCAATACGATGGGAGGAGGGCGGCGTTAAATATGAGCGGCGAAAATTGGCTTCGCGGCTTTTTGGGCACGCCAGCCAATGGGAGAGCGAGGTGACAGCTCTATCCACCAATAGTATCGCGCAACATTCGGGCGTGGGCGGGACTTGCCCTCAGAAGCCTCCGTGAGTGACAGCGCTGGCAGCCAATGGGTGGAGGGGGTTGAATTCATTCCGGGCCCGGGGTGGGAGGGCTCCGGTGCTGAGGGGTGAATCCCGCGGCCAGCGGGAGTCCCCGGTTGGGAGCCGCCGCCATGGACGCTCACTGAGGCCAATGGCGGCCGGAAGCCGCGCATGATAAACAGTGCGCACTGACCAATGAGAAGCGAGATCAGGCCGGGGTTAATTGATAGACAGCGCTTTTAACCAATCGGCAGCGAGATGCGCCAGCGCTGACAATCAATAGGAAGCTAGAACCTCGCGGTGGGCGGGGCTTTGCGGGTTGAATGACACCCGCGCTTCCCAATCCACACGCCCGGCGTGGGGCGGGTCCCGCTCAGCCAATCGGGAGTGCGGACGGCCGCGTTCAGCATTGAGCGACAGCGGAACGAACCAATCGGAATGTGGGTTTGAATGAGTGACGGGCCGCGCGGCCAATGGGAACGCGCGTTGGGGGCGGGGGCGCGCGGCGCGAGCGGCTGGCGGGGCGGGGGGGGCCAAGCAGGAAGTGGCGGAGGGGAAGCGGCGGCGCTGAGGGGCCCGAGCGGGACCGGACCGGGAACCGGGATTGGGATCGGGAATTGGGACCGGGAATTGGGATCGGGAATCGGGACCGGGAGCCGGAGCCGGCCGCGGGAACGCCCCCCGCGCCTGCCGCAGGTAGCGGGGCCCGAGCGGCCTGAGGGGGTCAGGGCCTGGGGGGGGGCGAGGCCCGGGCGGGAAGCGCGGCCTGAGGGGGCCCCGAACGCCGCGATTTGGGGGGGGTCAGGGTCTCGTACCCCCTCGGTACATCCCGGGATTTGGGGGCTCACGGCCACCCCCTCCCATCACAAACCCTGGGATTTGGGGGGTCACCGTCATCCCCCCATCCCTGGAATTTTGGAGGGCCACGGTCACTCCTTGCGACAGAAAAACGCCGGGATTTGGGAGTCACGACCACCCCCTCCCATCCCAAATCCCGGGATTTGGAGGGGTCATGGTCACGTCTTCCCACCAGAAAAACCCGGGATTTGTGGGGATCGGGATCATCTCCCCCCGCATCCTGAAATTTTGGGGGGTCACAGTCAGTCCTTCCCCATCCCAAATGCTGGGATTGGGAGGGGTCACGGCCATCCCCTCCATCCTGGAATTTTGGGGAATTTGGGATCGGTGGGGGGGAGTTTGGGGTGGGAATGGGCAGTTTGGGATGGGGAATTTGGGACCGGGATGGGGAATTTGGGATTGGAAGCTTGAGATTGGGATAGGGGCTTTGGGATCCTGGATATTTGGGAAAACCCCGAAATCCCACGGAATCCCTGCCCGGACCCCCCCAGCCCTTGTGGGAATCCTGGGAAAATCGGGAATGCCGAGAAAATCGGGAATGCCGAGCCCTCCTGGCGGGGCTGGAGCTGTTCCTTTTCCCTTCGGGATTTTCGGGATCCCTCGGGATCGGGGCCGGGCTGCGGGGCCGGCAGATGGCCGGGAATTAATTCCCTCCAAATCCCGGGAATTTAATCCCGCACGGGTCCCTGGGGACGAGGCGGCTGCGGGGATGGGGGCGGGAGCGGGACGGGGGTTTGGGGATGATCGGGGATTTGGGATCAGGGATTTGGGGTCGGTTTGGAATTTGCCACAGGTGGAATTTTGGGATAATCCCTCCCTGTTTGTGGCTGTGCTGCTTTCCCCGCCTCCTTTTCCCTGGCGAACTGAGCCGGGCAGGATTTTCCAAACCCGGCTCCTGATCCCAAACAGCTCCTCCCGGATTTTCCAGGCCTGGCTGGGTTTATCCCCAAAAAGAAGCCGGGATTGGGATCCGGGAGTCGGGGTGGGGAAATCCGGGATCCATCCCGGACGTTCCGAGGATTTGGATGTGAATGGGAAAGGACAAAGAGCGCGATTTCCCCCCTGGAAGACAATTCCCAGCTTTTCCAAAGGATTCATTCCCTGCCTGGGGAGGCTTTCCAGGGGATGAAAGGGCAGGAAAAGGGGGATTTGGGAAGGAAAAGGCCTCTCCCATCCCCAGGCACATTCCAGAGGGAAAATGAATGGAATCCCACCTGCTCGGGGTTTCCCAGGAGCCTCAAATCCAGAGGCAGTTTGGGGCTGGAATTGAGGTTGGATCCCTGATTTCCCACCTCAAATCCAGAGGCAGTTTGGGGCTGGAATTGAGGTTGGATCCACGACTCTTTCCCCTTTTTCCCAGTTTCCAAGCTAGAAAACCGTGGGATCAAAACCCCTCCTCATGAAAGGAATTTTTTCCCTAAAGAAACAAAAAATCCTTGGAGCTCCCGGGGCTGCTGGAAGTGCTGGGATTCCAGGGGTTAACAGGGAATTGTTGTGCAGGGATGTGGCAGATCCTGGGCCCGGCTCCAGGTCGGGAACAGGGCCGGGATTGAGCCGGGATGGGGCCGGAATTGCCGGGGTGGGCTCGGATCCTGCGGCTTTCCCGGCAGTTCCAGGAATTTATGGGATGGACAAACAGCAGGGCTGGGGTGGGAAGGGGATTTTTGGGATGGGAAGGGGATTTTTGGGATGGGAAGGGGATTTTTGGCATGGAGAGGAGTGTTTGGAGTGGATGGGGAGTGGGAATGGAAAAGGCTGTGGAACATCAGGATTCCCCGGGGTTTGTCGGGATGGAAACCCGGGAATTCCCGCTGGGAAACCCCAAAGGAACATCAGGATTCCCTGGGGTTTGTCGGGATGGAAACTCGGAAATTCCCACTGGGAAATCCCAAAGGAACATCAGGATTCCCCGGGGTTTGTCGGGATGGAAACCCGGGAATTCCCACTGGGAAATCCTGAATTCCCTGAGCCCCTTTCCCCGTTCCCAGCCATGGGGGACATGAAAACCCCAGACTTCGACGACCTGTTGGCCGCCTTCGACATCCCGGACATCGACGCCAACGAGGCCATCCACTCGCACCACGAGGAGCCCGAGGCGCACGGGAAGCAGCTGCCGGGCGAGGCGGGCGCGGCAGTGGCGGCGCCGGAGCACGTGCTGCCGCACGCCGACATCTCGGCCGTCAGCGTCATCGTCAAGAACACCGTGTGCCCCGAGCAGCCCGAGGGCCCCGAGCCGCGCGCCAAGGACGGGCACGGCGCCGCGCCGCGCCTGCTGCAGAACGGCTTCGGCGCCCCCGACGCGCCCCGCGAGCCCGGCGCCGCCGAGGCCGCTGCCAACGGCGAGTGCTGGGCCAAGGAGAAGAACCCCAAGGCGCTGGATCTGTTCTCCCATTTCAGCCCCGACCCCGGAGAGGACGGCGCCAACCTGATCGACAGGGCGCGGGAGTGCAAAGCCAAGGAGAAGTCGCTGGCCGTGCCCTCGCTGGCGGCGTCCCCCACCCCGTCCCTGGACTGCAAGGAGCCGCTGGGGCAGGGCGCGGAGAGCCTGGAGCTGCGGCACGCCGAGCCGGCGTTCCCGGCGCCCTTCCGGGCGGCAGCACCCGGCGACGGATCCCACCCCACGGCCTGCGTCAAGAAGGAGGAGTTGGACTCGGAGGAGGCTCCGGCCAGGGGCTGCAGCCCCAAGGGGCTGGTGCTGGATCACCTCAAGTCCGTCACCGTCCGCTACTCGGCCGAGGGCTCTCCCGTGGCGGCCTGGCCGGCGGCGGAGCCGGCAGCGCTGGATGCCGGCAGCGCAGCCGAGCTCAAACGCTCGCCCGGGAGCCCTCGCGAGCCCTTCTCCTCCCCGGGAATCCCCATCCCGCCTTCCCCCAGGCGGCTCTCCCTGAAGGAAGAGCGGGAGATGCTGGGGAAATCCGTGGGGAGCCCTCCGAGCGTTTCCAGCGGGGAGGAGGATGAGGAGGAGGAGGAGGAGGAGGAAAACACCAACTCGCCGTCCTCCAGCTCCTCGCGGCCGCTCAAGGTGCGCATCAAGACCATCAAAACCTCCTGCGGCAGCATCACCAGGACGGTCACCAGGGTGTCCTCGGACTCGGAGCCGCCCTCTGCCAAAGCCCCCGGTGGGCAGAATTCCCAGGAGCCCTCGGAGTGCCCGGCCGGCGGCGCAGCGGAGGCGGCGCAGGAGCGGTCGGAGCTCTGCAGCCCTCCGAAGAGCGCGGAGGGGCCCAAGATCGTCAGCGTGCAGCTGGGCAACGGCACCAAGCTGAAGGGCACGGTGCTGCCCGTGGCCGCCATCCAGAGCGCCAGCAGCGCCATGCTCATCGCCGCCAGCGTGGCCCAGCAGAAATCCGTGGTCCTGCCGGGGAAATCCGGGAAATCCGTGGCTAAAAACATCCTCAGCCTGGTGCCGCAGCCGCTCCCCAAGGGGGACGGCCGGAGCAACGGCGGCGCCAAGGCCAACGGCGGCGCGGCGGCGCCCAAAGCGGCGCCCGGCGTGGCCGGCACCGTCATCTCGCGCAGCCAGTCCAGCCTGGTGGAGGCCTTCAACAAGATCCTCAACAGCAAGAACCTGCTGCCCACCTACAAGCCCAACCTGAGCCCGCCGGCCGAGTCCAGCCTGGCGCTGCCGCCCGCCGGCTACCGCTGCCTGGAGTGCGGCGACGCCTTCGCGCTGGAGAAGAGCCTGGCGCGGCACTACGACCGGCGCAGCATGCGCATCGAGGTCACCTGCAACCACTGCACCAAGCGCCTGGTGTTCTTCAACAAGTGCAGCCTGCTGCTGCACGCCCGCGAGCACAAGGACAAGGGGCTGGTGATGCAGTGCTCGCACCTGGTGATGCGGCCCGTGGCGCTGGAGCAGATGATCGGCCAGCCCGACGTCACCCCGCTGGCCTCGCTGGCGCTGCCGCCCGCCAAGGCGGCGCAGGACGGCGGCGGCGCAGCGCAGGAGCCACCGGTGCTGCCGCTGGGCGCCGAGCAGAGCAGCTACAGCTGCTTCAGGTGCCTGGAGTGCAAGGAGCAGTGCAAGGACAAGGCCGGGCTGGCGGCGCACTTCCAGCAGGTCGCCGTGGCCACCAGCAGCAGCAGCACGGTGAGAGTGGGGACGGACTGGGAGGGACTGGGAGGACACTAGGGGGGCACTGGGATGGGCTGGGAGGGACTGGGATGGACTGGGAGGGCACTGGGAGGGACTGGGATGGGCTGGGAGGGACTGGGAAGGCACTGGGAGGGACTGGAATGGCACTGGGAGGGACTGGGATGGGCTGGGAGGGCACTAGGGGGGCACTGGGAAGGGCTGGGAGGGACTGGAAGGGACTGGGATGGGCTGGGACGGACTGGGAGGGCACTGGGAAAGGCTGGGAGGGACTGGGAGATGGTGGGAGAGCGGTGGGAACATCCAGCCTTGGATCCATGGATCCGTGCCGCCCCTCCTGTCAATCCCGATCCCTGTGGAATTCTCCCAGAATTCCTTGGGGTCCTGGTTCCAGTTGGAGTTTTCCCGGGACCCTTTGGGATCCCAATCCCAGCTGGAATTCCCCCGGCCCCAGACCCGTTTCAGCCCATTCCCAGATGGAATTCCCATGACCCAGGACCCGTTTCAGCCCGTTCCCCGCTGGAATCCCCCCGGCCCCAGACCCGTTTCAGCCCGTTCCCGGCTGGAATTCCCATGGCCCCAGACCCGTTTCAGCCCCAGTCCCCGCTGGAATTCCCATGGCCCCAGACCCGTTTCAGCCCCATTTCAGCCCGTTCCCGGCTGGAATCCCCCCGGAGCCGCCCCGGGCTGGGGCCCGCAGTGACTCTGGCCTTGCAGGTGTGCTCGGCGTGCCCCATGATCCTGCCCAACCGCTGCAGCTTCGGCGCGCACCAGCGCATGCACCGCAGCCGCCCGCCCCACGTCTGCCCCGAGTGCGGCGGCAACTTCCTGCTGGCCAACTTCGAGGGGCACCTCAAGGAGTCCTGCCTGCACTTCTCCCGCAGGGTGGGCTACAGGTGCGGCCCGGGAACACCGGGAATACCGGGAATTCCAGGGGGGGAGCTGGGGCGTCCGGGAATGGAGCTCGCCCACGCGGCGCGGCGGGAATTTCCTGCTGGAAAACTTGGGAGCGCCGCCGCCAGGGCTCCTCAGGGTGGGATGCAGGTAGGGAGGCAGGGAATCCCGGGAATCCTGGGAAAGCTGGTGTGGGATCCCAGTTCCAGGTGGAATTTTCCCAGAACTGCTCTGGATCCTGCTCCCCAGCTGGAATTCCCAGAGCCGCTGTGGATCCCAGTTTCCATTGAGAATTCCCAGATCCTCTCTGGGTCGCGGTGCCCATTGGGAATTCCTGGATCCACTCTGGATCACAGTTTCTGTTGGGAATTCCCAGATCCGCTCTGGATCCTGGTCCCCATTGGGAATTCCCAGATCCGCTGTGGATCCCGGTTTCCGTTGGGAATTCCCAGACCTGCTCTGGGTCCCGGTCCCCGTTGGGAATTCCCGGCCCCGCCCTGGATCCCGGTTTCCCTTGGAATTCCCCAGGTGCCCCAGCTGCTCGGTGGTGTTCGGCGGCGTCAATTCCATCAAGTCGCACATCCAGAGCTCGCACTGCGAGGTGTTCCACAAGTGCCCCATCTGCCCCATGGCCTTCAAGTCAGCGCCCAGCGCCCACGCACACGTCTACACCCAACACCCCGGCTTCGGCAGCCAGCCCTCCAAGTGAGCCGGGAACGGGCTGGGAATGGGGATGGGAGAGCTGGGAATGGGGGTGGGAGAGCTGGGAATGGGGGTGGGAGAGCCGGGAATGGGGATGGGGAGCTGGGAATGGGGATGGGAGAGCTGGGAATGGGGGTGGGAGAGCTGGGAATGGGGATGGGGAGGTGGGAATGGGGATGGGAGAGCTGGGAATAAAAGGTTGGGATGGGAGATCTGGGAATCAGAGGTTGGGATGGGAGAATTGAGAATAAGAGATTGGGATGGGAGGTCTGGGAATGTTCTGCTATGGGAATGGAGTTGGTGGTAGGATTGGCTGGAAAATTTGGGAATGTGGCACTTGGGAATGAGGGATGTGGTGATCCCAGAGGGCTTTTCCTGCCTGAGCAATCCCAGGACTCCAGGACTGGGAGAACTGGGAATGTTCCATGCTGAGCAGAACCTCCTCCGTGCTGGGATGAGCTCAGCTCCCACCTTCCTTTTTCCACCCCCTTTTCCCTATTTTTCCTCTTTCCTTCCCTCCTTTTCCCCCTCCCTTTTTTCTGTTTTTCCCCTCCTTCCCCATTTCCTTTTCCCCTTGCTCTCCCGCCTCCCCCCTTCCCGTTTTTCCCCGTTTTTCCCCGTTTTTCCCCGGTTTTGCCCCAGGATGATTTACAAGTGCGCCATGTGTGACACGGTGTTCACGCACAAGCCGCTGCTGTCGTCGCATTTCGACCAGCACCTGCTGCCGCAGCGCGTCAGCGTCTTCCGCTGCCCGCAGTGCCCGCTGCTCTTCGCCCAGAAGCGCACCATGCTGGAGCACCTCAAGGTCAGGCAGGATTCCTGCTGGGAACGCCGGAATTCCCAGCCGGAATGCCGAAATTCCAGCCAAAAATGGCGAAAATTTGGCAAAGTGGGAGTGGGGAGCACTCGGGGTACGGAACTGCACCGTGCTCAAGCACCTCAAGGTCAAGCGCCAGCCCAGATGGAATTCCAGCCAAAAATGGTGAAATTCCAGCCAAAAAAGGCAAAATTCTGGTCCAAAGTGCCGACATTGCAGCCCCGGTTGGGTGGGGCGTGGAGGAAATGGGAGCTGTGCTCTCAGGGGGCTTAAGGATCCGTTCCACCCCCAGCCATTCCAGGATTCCCTGTCCTGGTTTCTTTGGGATTTCGGGATGAATCCCAGCCCCCATCCCAGGCTATTCCACAGATTGCTCGTGCCGGGAATGTCCCTTCCCACCCCGAAATTCCCGAATCTCCCTTTCCCAGAACACCCACCAGCCCCAGAAATCCAAGGACGACTCTTCCAAGAAATCCCCGGCCCTGCTGACGCCCAAGCCGGAGCCTCTGGAGACGCCGGTGTCCAAGAATTCCGAGGAGTCCTCGAGCTCCACGGAGGAGGACGAGCCGCCGAGCTCGCCCGAGCTGCGCAAGGCCAAGCGGAGCCGCTTCCCGCGGAAATCCGGGAGCAAGGCCAAGGGCAGCGGCTGGAGCTGCGGCGTGTGCCACTCGTGGTTCCCCGAGCGCGACGAGTACGTGGCGCACATGAAGCGGGAGCACGGCAAGGTCAGAGCCGCGGCGATCCCGGCCGGCATTCCCGGGACACGCGGGTTCCCGGGATGCTGAGCTGGGCTTTCCCCGCAGTCGGTGAAGAAGTTCCCGTGCCACCTGTGCGAGCGCTCCTTCTGCTCCGCGCCCAGCCTGCGCCGCCACGTCCGCGTCAACCACGAGGGCATCAAACGCGTCTACCCCTGCCGGTATTCCCGGGAAACGGGGAAAACGGGGCGGGATTGGGATGGCCGGGAGCTCGGAGGGATCGGGCAGGACTGAGGGGTGGGGTTGGGGAGGGAAGGGGGGAGTTCCCAGGGAATCAGGGTTTAATTCCCAGGGGATCAGGGTTTAATTCCCAGGTTAAAATCAGGGCTTAATTCCCAGGTAAAAATCAGGGTTTAATTCCCAGGTAAAAATCAGGGTTTAATTCCCAGGGAAAATCAGGGTTTAATTCCCAGGGAAAATCAGGGTTTAATTCCCAGGTTAAAATCAGGGTTTAATTCCCAGGGAAAAATCTGGGTTTAATTCCCAGGAAAATCAGGGTTTAATTCCCAAGAAAATCAGGGTGTAATTCCCAGGCAATCAGGGCTCAAGTCCCACCTGCTCTGCCCAGGATGGGAATTGAAATTCCGGGAATGAGAAGGATTTGGGAAGGACTCCAGGCTTTGCCTCACTCCTGTTTGGGGCTGGAATTCGGGAATTCCGGGGGTGGAATTCCCGGAAAACGGGGCTGCTCCGCTGGCAGGTACTGCACGGAGGGGAAGAGAACCTTCAGCAGCCGCCTGATCCTGGAGAAGCACATCCAGGTGCGGCACGGGATCAAGGTGACCGACCCCGCCCGCAGCCAGGAGGTCGTCATCGCCCGCGGCCCCCCTGGGCCCGCCCAGGTGGGATTATCCCCAGTTCCCGCTTTTCCTGGGAATTTCGGGGGGTTGGGGCAGGACTGGGGGGGTTTTATCCTGGAATTCTTACTGGGAACGCGCAAATCCCAGCTCTAAACTTCATCCAAGCGGGGAGGTTTTGGGTCCAGGACTGCCCGGGTGGGATTATCTGGGAATTCCAGCGTTTGTGGCAGGATTGGAGATTCCTCATCCCAGAATTCCTTCTGGGAGCTGCCCCAGTTCCCAGGGAATTCCCAGGCGGGGGTTCCCAGCCCGAGCCTTCCCGGAATTCCCGGATTTGCCTTCCCAGGCGCCGGGCCGCAAGCGGAAGCTGTCGTCGGACGAGTCGTGCAGCGAGGAGCCCGACAGCACCACGCCGCCCGCCAAGAGCCCGCGGGCCCGCGCCCCGTTCCGCTGCCGCAAGTGCGGCTTCCAGGCCGGGAGCCGGGCGGAATTCCAGGCGCACATCCCGCAGCACCGCACGGACGGGAATTCCCAGCAGTGCCGCGAGTGCGGCCTCTGCTTCACCTCCCAGGTCTCGCTCAGCCGCCACCGCTTCATCTCCCACAAGAAGAAGAAGGGAGCCGAGCCCGAGGATTCCTCGGGGAGCGCTCCCCAAGGCAACGGCGGCGGGAATTCCGGGAATTCCGGCGGCGGTGCCGGCACAGCCGAGGGGAAGCTGGAATGCAAAGTCTGCGGGAGGGGCTTCGAGACCCAGCTCACGCTCAAGACGCATTTCCGGACCCACGGGATGGCGTTCATCCGCGCCCGGCAGGGAGCCGAGGAGAACTGAGCCCTCCCGGGAATCCCAGAGCCCCCGGCACAGCTCAGCATTCCCGGGAATCTCAGTGTTCCTGGAACTCCAGGATGAGAAGCGAGGAGAACTGAGCCTTCCTGGGAATCTCAGCATTCCTGGAGAACTGAGGAGAACTGAGCCTTCCTGGGAATCTCAGAATTCCTGGAATTCCGGGATCGGCTCCAAGGCCAGGAATCGGCGCTGTGTACATAAAACACCCCCAGAGCCCTTCCCGGTGTCCAAGGGAAAGTTGGGAATTGGGATTGGGATGATCCCAAATCCCACCGGGAATCCCCTGGGAATGTTGGATTTTGGGGGAATTTGGGGTTTCCCAGGAATTCCCAGATCCGGACGGGGCAGGGGAAGCTTTTCCAGCAAAATCCACCTTTTTTTGTTATTATTTTTCGGGGTTTGTTTGTTTTTCCTGGATTTTTTCCCCTTTGGGAACGTTCCCGGTATGTTTTGGTGGGAAGGAGGCGATTCCAGAGCCCTGGAATTCCGGAGGTCCCCGGGAAGGACACTTGGACATGCAGCGGACATTCCCGAGGAGCAGGAGGAGGAAAAAGGCTGGAAAAAAGGAGAGAAAAGAAGGAAAAGAGATTTTTCCTTCGGCAAAGGAATAATGGCCCAAAAAAACCCAGGATTGGGAAGGGATCCGTCAGATCCTTTTCCTGAAGGAAAAGTGGGAAAACTGCTCCCAGATTCCAGGCTGAGGGTGAGGTCTGGGAGTTTTTCCAGCTCCTCCTTCTCCTCAGGATCCAGGACATTTCCTACTTCCAATCCCCCCCAAAAAAATCCTCTGGAAAAGCCCCTCTGGCACCGCTGTTCCCAGAATTCCTGGAAGAATTCCTGGGATTCCCTGTGGACAACCTTCCCCGTTCCCTGTAAAGCTGTATCATACACTAAACTCCACCAGTCCCACCAACTGCTGTGCTCATTCCGGGATGTGGTTTGGTTTTCCAGGGGGTTTTTTCCCGTTCTTTTGCGTTTTTCGGGACGGCAAAGTTGCTTTGGGGTTGATTTTTTTTTTTTTTTTTTCCCCTGGGTTTTTATTCCTGGTTTTTCTGACTTTTTCCAAGCAGGAATGAGGTGTTCCCCTTTTCCCTGCAGGTGGATGGATGGAAAAAACTGGGAAAAATTATGTAGAATCGGCCATTCCCAAAAATCTTCCGGGCCGGGTGTAAATATAGAGAAGAAATTAAAGTTTCTACGAGATTTAGAAGGAAAAAAATTCCCAAAAAAACTATGGAAAAATGGCTTTGGACCCACGGTTTTCCAGCATTTCAGTGCCTTGAGCTGGATTTGGGGTGGAGGGAGGGAGGGGCCGGAATTTCGGGAATGTCTCTGCTGGGATTTTGGGGACTTCGGGAATGTGCTGATGGAAAGCCGCGGGCTCGAGAGGCTCTCAGGAATTCTTTATTCTGTAGGAATCGACTCCATTAAACTCCAGTGGTTTCACCCTCTGTGCCCGGCCTCGGCTCCTCCCGGGATTTTGCTTTTCCCAGGAAAAGCTCCCAGGAATGGGAATGGGGAGGGGGGGAGGGGCTGAGGGCTCCGGCTGCATCCCCAAATTTTGGTCCTGCCCCCCAAAAAAGGGGCTTGGGAAGGGTCGGGGTCCCCCCTCTGTCCCCTCACGGTGTCCCCAGAGCCCCCTGCCCCCTCCCCGGGGGGTTGAACATCCAAATTTGGGTTGTTTTTTTTTTTTACACTAAAAATGGGGGGGAAAAAAAGAAAAAAAGAAAAAAAAAAGGGGGGACATTGAGGGGACACGGGGGGGGGGGGCACAGGGACAGGGGGACACTGCGGGGACACTGAGGGGACATTGGGGGGACACAAAGGAGGGACACCGAGGGGACATTGTGGGGACATTGGGGACAAGGGGGGGACACTGGGGACACCCCACGTGTCCCCACAGGCCAGGCCGGGGGAAGGGGGAGGGAAAATCCCAGGAAATTTTCCTTCCCTGGGAAGCTCCGGATCCTCCCCGATTTGGGATTTGGGGTCGGGACAAGGCCCCCAAACCACCCCCACCTCGTGTCCAACACTCCAGCCCGACATTCCCGGCAGGAATTCCCTGGGAAAGGGGGAGGGACAACAGGGGGACTCCCACCGGGAATTCCCCACCTGGAATTTTCACTCGGAATCCCGCCTGGGAATTCCGGCTGGGAATCTCACCTGGAATCCCCCCCCAGCCATCCCTGCGTGTCCCAGGAGAGGGAAGGACCCCCCGGGCCGGGAATTCCAGGAATTTCAGGCTTTTGGGATTCCCAACCTTCAGGAGACACCTCCCCCCTCCCATCCCACACATTCCATGGGACTGGGGGGCAAATTCCAGGGAATTCCAAGCAGAGGGAAGGGGGAGCTGCCCCGCTCCCATCGGGATTTCCCTTCCCGCTCTTCCCGCCGCTTTTCCCGGCTTTTCCATGGAATTCTGTCCCATTTCTCCAGCAGAGTCCCAACCTCAGCCCCGAGGTTGCTTTCCGGGGAGGGAACAAAAACGGGAATTTCGGAATTCTCCCGTTTCCTCCTGGCAGCGGGGGGCGGGGGGGAAGGAAATTTTTTTGTTTGTTTTTTTTCCGGGAATTTTTTTCCATGTGGATTTTTGTTCTTCTCCTGGAATTTCACATGATGCCGTTGGTGAGGTACTGGAAGCCGTCGTAGAGTTTGGTGGTGATGGAGCGCATGGAACCGTCCACCATCTGCTCCACCAACAGCTGCAGCTGCTCCTCCGTCAGGTTCATGTGGAAACGCTCCTTGAGGTGCCGGATGGTGGAGGAGCCGTGGAAGCAGGGCAGCTGGGAGCCTGGAAAAACGGGAAAAAACGGGAAAAATGGGAAAAACAGCGGCTGGAGACTGGGAAAATGGGGGGAATGGGGAAAAAATGGGAAATTGGCAGCTGGGAAACTGGAGAAATGGGAAAAAAAAAAGGGAAAAAAAATAGGAAAAACAGTGGCTGGGAGACTGGAGAAATGGGAAAAAAATGGGAAAAAAAAGGGAAAAAAAAGGGAAAAAAATGGGGAAAAAAATGGGAAAAAAATGGGAAAAAAATGGGAAAAAAATGGGAAAAAATGGGAAAAATGGGAAAAACAGTGGCTGGGAGACTGGAGAAAAACAGGAAAAATGGGGAAAATGGCAGCTGGGAGCCTGGGAAACAGGGAAAAAAGGGAAAAATGGGAAAAACAGTGGCTGGGACACTGGAGAAATGGGAGAGAAATGGCGGCTGGGAGCCTGGAAAAATAGGAAAAACTGGGATGGCAATATCAGGACTCTGGGTTTGGAATGGGGGCAATGGGATCAGGGAGCTGCGAGCCTGGGAAAGGGGAAATTCGGGATGGGGTGAGGGGAAAAGGGATTCAGGATCCCGGAAAAGGGAGGAACGGGGGAATCGAGCGGGGAGCAGCGGGTTTGGGGCGGGAGGAATTCCCGGAATTCCCGGTTCCCACCTTGCTGCATGATCTCCACGATCTGCACCACGCGGTCCATGTGCTTGCGGGCCGCAATCAGCCCCTGCAGCATCAGCATCTTGTAGTAGTTGAACATGTCCCCGTCCAGGCCGCCCATCACCTGCGGGAATTCCCGGGATGAGCTCTGGGAATGCCGGGAATCCCCCGGGATGGGAACTCTGGGAACCCCTGGAATCCCCCCAGAATCCCCCAGGAATCCCCTGGGAATCCCAGATGGGAACTCTGGGAATCCCCCAGGAATCCAGGATGAGAACACCAGGAATCCCCTGGAATCCCCCCCCCGGTTCCCCCCCTGGAATTCCCTGGAATCCCCGGAATGCCGCACTCACATCCACGAACTCGGAGGTGAGTTTGAAGGCCGAGGTCTCGAAGCCGAGGTTCCGGGGAGAGCTGGACAGGATGAAGCCAAAGTCGATGTGGATGATGTGGCCCTCGGCGTCCAGCAGGATGTTCCCATTGTGCCTGGGCAGAATTCCAGGGAATTCCCTCAGGATCTCATGGGATTCCCAGAAACTCCATTGGAATTTTAAAAAATCCAGTAAAATTCACATTAATCCTGCTAAAATCCCTCAGAATGCCCTCGGCATCCAGCAGGATGTTCCCGTTGTGCCTGGGCAGAATTCCAGGGAATTCCCTCAGGATCCTGCGGGAATCCCATGAGATTCCCAGAAACAGCATGGACATAAAAAAAAAAAAACAAAAACAAACAATGAAAATTAAATCCTGCTAAAATCCCTCAGAATGGCACAAACGCCCTCGGGCGCTGCCACCGTGCCCTGAGGAGAAATCAGAAAAATCCAGAAAAGATCCAAAATAAAAAAAAAAAGGAAAAATATTGGAAAAAAAAAAAAAAAATTCCCAAATTGCCCCAAATGCTGAGATTTACCTGTCCTTGACCTGCAGCAGGTAGCAGACCAGGCAGTAGCCGGCGCAGCTGCGGACGAAGTTGCGCTGCGCCGACAGGAAGCTCTCGCTGTTGGCGCTGCCGTGCTCCTGCAGGAAATAATCCTGCAGCGCCAGCTGCGACTGCTTCTTGATCTGGTGCAGGGAGACGGCGCTGAGCACTGGCTCGATCATCCCGCTGTCCGCCGACACCACCAGGATCTTGTAGGGCCGCACCCACAGCGGCACGCGCTCCTGCTCCCAGATGGACTGCGGGGAACAAGGGGTTAATGGGGGAATTGCAGAAATCTGGGCAAAACCTGACTGAAACGTGGTTAAATGGGGGGAATTGCAGAAATCCCAGTGAAATTACAGCAAATCCGACTGAAACAGGGTGGGATTGCAGAAAACCCCATTAAAATGCCACCAAACCCCATAAAATGCCACAAATCCCCATTAAACTGCCACCAAACCCCAGTGAAATGCCACCCAACCCTGTTAAAACACCACCAAACCCCAGTGAAGCCCCACAAACCAACAACACGCCCCCGGGGGGGTCGGGTTTTCCGGGAATTCCGCACCTGGAGCTGTTTGAGCACCTGGAACGCCAGCAGCTCCTGCCGCAGGTCGTCGCCGCACTTGACGATGACGGAGAGGAGGCGCCAGGAGGGCAGGTGCCCGTAGGGAGAGGCTTCCCGGATTCTCCTGGGGAAAAACCGGGAAAAACGGGATCACCCAGAACCTTCGGGTCAGGAAGAGACCTGGGAATTCCCCGGAATTGTCTTTACACTGTCCGATCCCACTAAAATCTCACAAAATTCCATTAAAATCCCATAAAATCCCATTAAAATTCCATCAAAGTCCCATTAAAATCCCATTAAAATTCCATCAAATCCCATTAAAATCCCATCAAAATCCCATTAAAATCCCATCAAAATCCCATTAAAATTCCATCAAGTCCCATTAAAATCCCATCAAAATCCCATTAAAATTCCATCAAGTCCCATTAAAATCCCATTAAAATCCCATCAAAATCCCATTAAAATTCCATTAAAATCCCACTGAGTCCCATTAAAATCCCATCAAATCCCACCAGGACACAGCTGGCACACCCCAAAACTCCTCAATCCCAGGGCTTTTCTCAGGAGGAACTCCGGCCTCAGAATTCCAATGGCCTCGTCCCAGGAAAAGAGCCAAAACCCTCTGGAGCTCAGAGCTGCCTGAAAATCCCGGGAATTCGGGCAAAGCCCTGGATTTGGGCAGGGCCGCGGGTGATTCCTGGGTGAGGTTTTCCCTGGAATTCCCGGGAATTCCTGGGAATTCCACATCCCCACCTGACTTTCTCCTGCCAGGGCTCCTTGAGGGCCACGGCCGACGGATCCTCGGGGTCCCTGCGGAACGCCGTGGGCGTGTGGGCCAGCTGCTCCGACAGCCGCCGCCTGCGGGACGGGACGGCCAAATTCCAGCTTTTCCATGGAAAATCCCATGGGAAAAACCCGCATTCCGGCTTTTCCATGGAAAAACCCTATGGGAAAACCTTGCCTGCTCAGGCAACGCCAGAATTCCAGGGTTTTATCATGAAAAATTTCTGCATTTTTGCTCCAGGAAATATTGGAATTCCAGGGTTTTATTGAGGGAAAATTCCTGCATTTTTGTTTTTGGGGAATGTAGGAATTCTGTGGGTTTTATCAGGGAAAATTCCTGCATTTTTGCTTTGGGGAATGTTGGAATTCCGGGGTTTTACTGAGGGGAAATTCCTGCATTTCTGCTTTGAGGAATGTCGGAATTCTGGGGAATTTTTGAGGGAAAATTCCTGGATTTCTGCTCTGGGAATTACCGGAATTCCGGGGTTTTTTTGTGGAACAACTCCCGGTTTTCCCAAAGCTCACCGGATGTCTCCAGCGGCGATGAAGACGGGCTCCCGGCTCTCCTGGCTGGTGATGGAATCCACAGAAAACTGGGAGATGTTGTCACAGCTGTTGGTGTGCATCTCCGGGAGCTGCGGGAATCCCGGGAAAACCCCATAAAATTCCAGGAAATCCCACCAAATCCCATTAGAATCCCATTAAAACCTTGTTAAATCCCATTGAAATCCCATCAAATCCCATTTTTAAAAGCCCATCAGATCCCATTAAAAGCCCATTAAAATCCTATCAAATCTCATTAAAATCCTATTCAAATGCCCATCAAATCCCATTAAAATTTTATCAAATCCCATTAAAATCCCATCAAAATCCCATCAAATTCCCATTAAAATCCCATCAAATTCCCATCAAATCCCATTAAAACACCATATAACCCCAGACAATTCCAGAAATTTCCCTCAGACCCCACAAACCCCGCCGGATTCCAGGGACCCCTCTGGAGAAGGCCATTCCCGGCTCCCACCTCCACCTGGAGCTCCACGATGTCATCCACGGACCAGGCCTCGTCGTCGTTGTCGTAGTTGGGGACGGTGCTGAAGCTGCCGGCGCGCTGCTCCGGGCCCATCCCGCATTCCGGAAGGTTCTCGGCCGAGCGCGTGCTGCGGATGCGGTTCTCCGGGATGCGCGCCGGGACGCTCGCCGTGTCGAAGTTGTCGCATTCCAGGACTTCCACGTAGATCAGGTAGGGAGCCTGGGGAAAGCGGGAACGGGGAGGGATGAGGGACGGCCCCGGAGATTCCCAGCGCCAGGCTTTGGGGGGAAATCCCTGTTTTTTTAGGAAAAGGCTGGAGATTCCAGAGGGGCTGGAAGCTGCCGGTGCTCAGGGGGTTTGAGCCCAATTCCAGCTGTCCCGGCATTCCCAGGGCTGGAAGTGACACCTGCAGCTCTGCCACCATTCCCAGTATTCCCATGCCACCCCACATCCCCTTTCCCGTCACAAACCCCATTTCCCAAATCCCAAACCCCCTTTCCCATACCCCAAACCCCCTTTCCCACACCCCAAACCCCCTTTCCCAAATCCCAAACCCCCTTTCCCAAATCCCAACCCCCTTTCCCATACCCCAAACCCCCTTTCCCATATCCCAAACCCCCTTTCCCAAATCCCAATCCCCCTTTCCCAAATCCCAATCCCCCTTTCCCACACCCCAAACCCCCTTTCCCATACCCCAAACCCCCTTTCCCATATCCCAAACCCCCTTTCCCAAATCCCAATCCCCCTTTCCCAAATCCCAATCCCCCTTTCCCATACTCCAAACCCCCTTTCCCATACCCCAAACCCCGTTCCCACACCCCAAACCCCGTTCCCACCCCCCAATCCCAATCCCCGTTCCCGCCCCACCTTGTCCTTGGAGTTGAGCACCACGGCCTGGGAGTGGGGCACGCGCACCACGTGGTGCGGGAAGGCGGCGGTGGGCAGCCAGGCGCGCGCGGGCAGCTTGTGGTTGAGCAGGGACAGCTCCGAGATCAGGCGCTGCGTCTTCTGCTCCTTGGTGGGCAGCGTGGCCAGGCGCCGGCCGATGGCCATCAGCGACTTGATGAACTCGCGCTCCGGGGCCAGCCGCGCCGGCTGCGGGGCCGCGGCATCGGGAAAGGGGAACGGAGGAAACGGAGGGGATGGCACCCGGCCCACCGGGAAGGGTCTTCATCCCATCCCATTGATCCCACTGACCCCATCCCACTGACCCCATCCCACTGATCCCATCCCATTGATCCCATCCCATCCCATTGATCCTATCCCATCCCATCCCACTGACCCCATCCCATCCCATCCCACTGACCCCATCCCACTGATCCCATCCCACTGACCCCATCCCATCCCATCCCACTGATCCCATCCCACTGACCCCATCCCATCCCACTGATCCCATCCCATCCCACTGATCCCATCCCATCCCACGGGATCTTCCCACCCTTCACTTCTCCCTGCTCTTCCCAGCTCCAAAAGGCTTGGGAAGGCTTGGGATGAAAAATAAAAAGTTGGGGCAGAAAGGAGGAAGACGGAGGTGATGCCGGCCGTTTTCCAGTGGGATCCATTCCCTGCCCTTCCCTCTTCCAGCCAGGCCAGCTGGAAAAGGGAAGGGCCAGGATCCCAGGGAAAAGGTTGGGGAAAGGGGGGAAAACGGAGGCGATGCCAGTGGTTTTTTAGCGGGAGCAATTTCCTGATCCCTGCCCTTCCCTGTTCCCGTTCCATCCCAAAGGATCAGCAGCCCAGCCCTCCCCTTTCCCTGCCCTTCCCACTCCGGAGCCCGCCAGGCTGGAAAAGGAACTGGATAAAAATAAAAACTCTGGGAAAAAGGAGGAAAATGGAGGCGGTGCCGGTGGTGTTCCAGTGGGATCGAATTCCTGCTCCTCCCTCTTCCCACCCTTCCCTCTTCCCAGCTCCTGGAAATCTGGGAGTCCCGGCCATCCCCCAGCGGAGCAGGATCCCGGGGCCTTTTCCTTCCCCCCAGAATTCCAGAGCCAACATTCCCAGAGGGATCTCCCAGTCCCACTGGATTCCCAGGATTTGGGGTCGTCGGGATTCCCGGGATTTGGGAGGATCCTTCCCCCGCCCCTCCTTGGTGTCCCAGCCCAACAATCCCACAGGAATTTGGGATTTCCCCTTGGATGCAGGAGCCCCTCCCTGTGTGGATCCCAGATTTCCACTCCACGTTCCCAAAACTCGGGAATAACCAAGGGCTGATTTCCGGGATCACCGAGCGCTCCGACCATGCTGGAAACGGCGCATGCAGAAAGGCACGGATCGGGACGAGGGAAGCAACGGAAAACGCCGGAAAAATCAGGAATATCGCAGAGCAAGAGGAAAGGATAAGGAAAAATCAGGGAAAGAAGGATTGGGATGGGCATTCCCGGCTGGGAATCCGTTGGATTTGTAGTCCACATCCAAAAATTCCCTCAGGAATTCCGGGATAATGCTCGGCTTCCCTGCCCCACCTGGCTCCAGGCACGGGAGGAATATTCCAGAGGCTCCCGATCCCAGCTGGATCCCAAAAATTCCCTCTCCATGGATTGAATCCCATTCCTGCAAAAACCGGGATGGCCCATGGATGCTTTCCGGCTTTTCCCGTGGAATTCCAGTGGTTCTGACATTCCTGCTCCTGCCATCCAGGTTTTCCACAGATGTTGTCCCCTCGGAATACCAGGAAATGCTTTTCCCGGCGGAATATCCCGAGGAATTTGGGAATCTGGGATCAATCCAGGGATCCCTCTGGATCAGCCCCGCCTCGATCCAGGGGAGTTCCTGGATTTACCAGGGATCCCAAAATGCTTCCTAAGGATCTTCTCCCAAGCTCAGGAATATTCCAGCGGTGCCAGGATCCGTTCGGAGCCTCTGGAATTCTGGGCCCGCTGGGAAATTTGGAGATCTGGGATCTTCCAGCCACAGGGGTTAGGAAATTCCATCACATTCCAGAGGGAAATTCATCTTCATCCCATTCTAAAGGAGAATCTTCCTCTTCATTTCAGAGGCATTCCAGAGACGAATTTTCCTCATCCCATTCCAAAGGGAATGTCTTCTCCACCCCATTCCAGAGGGAAAATCCTCTTCTTCATCCCATTCCAAAGGGGAATTCTTCACTTCTTCCCATTCCAAAGGGAAATTCCAGAGGGAATTTTCCTCTTCATCCCATTCTTCATCCCAGCATTCCCAAGATTTCCCACTCCAGCAGAACATTCCACAGGAAAGGAGGAGTTATCCCTGTTTTCCGTGAATTCCCAAAAAATCCCAGAGAGGAGCCATTGGCTGGGCTGGGAGGAGCAAGAATGGGTGGAAATCAAGGAATTCCTGGAATTTTGGACGGGAATTTGGGGCTTGGAGCTCATCCCAAGCATCCCGTCATCCCTAAAAGCAGTGGGATTTAGGATGAGCCTGAAATTTGGGATCAAATCTCGACAAAATTCCCAAATCCAGGCGTGGGAATGATCCCTGGGAATTCCCAGCAGGATTAGAGCTGGGTTGGAATCCAGGAATTCCCGGAAAAGTCTTAAAAAAAAAAAAATCACGGAATTCTTCCCAAACTCCCCGTGCTGGAGGAAACCATGGACTACACATTCCCACCGGGAATCCTGGTGGGAAAAGAGGGAAAGATTCCCAAAAAAAAAAAAAACAAAAAACAAACAAACAAAAAAAAACACCAATGGAAAAACAGGGAAAGGGTTCATTCGGGAGAGAAAAATCAAGAGAAACACCAGGATTTGATTGGAATTTTAATGGAAAAAAGGAAGGAATTAAAAGAATGGAATCAAGGAATGATTGGCGGGAAAAAAACATGGAAAAAAAAGCAAATTAATCTCATCCGGCCGACAATTTTGGGAGCCAAATTCCAAGGGAAAACAGCATTTCCTCTTCCACCTGCAACAGATATGCAGGAAAAGCGGGAATCCCCTCATTCCCGTATGGATTTTGGTGGAAAAATGAAATTTTCCTGGATTTTGTCCAACTGGAACGAATTTTCCTGGAATTCCCATTCCAAGGAAGCATCACTGTGGCGATGCCAGGATTTTTTTGGGGTTTTTTTTGGGAATATTTGTGGAATGCCGGGAAATTCCAGAGGGGTGGAATTGAGGAAATGCTGCAGCGGGAAGAGGGAGCCTCCAGAAAATGGGATCGGAACTTACGGGAGCCAGGGATTTATCCAGGCTTTCCGTACTCGAGGAGAATTCCTGGGAAAAGCAGGAAAAGGGGGATTTGGGGCAGTTTTTTTGGGGGGATTTTTTTTCCATAGGAAAGAGAGGAAGGAGCAGGGAAAAGGGGGAGAAAAAGCAAAGTTTAGCTCCCGGTTCACTTCCAGCAATTCCCAAGATTTTTTGGTCCCATCCTCTTGGAACTGCCAGAAAAATTCCGGGAAGGAAAATTCTACAGGATTCTCAAGCAGGATGGGATCAAAGCGGAGCAGATCCTAGCGCTGAATTCCCGGGATTTTCCCGGTTTTCCTCCTCTCTGGGATTCCTCATCCCAGCCCAGAAGGACCAGGATGGATCCAGCTCCGAATTCCTTGGATTTCTGACCTTTTCCATCACCAAACCCACGTTTTGTTCCTTCCCTGAATTCCAGTTTCTCCCAAATTTCAGCACATCAAACGAATCCCATGGAAACGATCCCGAAAATTCCCAAAATCCCAATTTTTGAGGCCCTTTTGATCACGGAGAAATTCCTGATCTATCCCAGGTTTTCCTGCCATTCTCACATCTCCCTCAAAGCTCCATCCCAAGCGATTCCCATCCCAAATATCCCGGAATTCCAGCGCTTGGGATCCATCAATTCATTATTTTCTTCCTAAATGGGATCCATTTTCCCTTCCCTGATGAATCTGGGGATCATTTCCCACCAATTTTCCCGACTTTTTCCAATGAATTCCTGGATTTGGAGAGAAAAACACCCAGCGCTTCCAAGAACTCCAGGATTTTTGAGGGACAGTCGGGATCCAGGGCTGGAGCCTCCCTGGTTTTGTGATTTCCCAGCTTTCTCAGGATCGTTTCCAGGAGTTTCCTCATCCATAATTTATGGAAAAGCTCCGGTTTCCACCTCCTCCTTTTCCATATTAAAAATTCATCCCGGCGGGAACGGCCCCGGATTTTTCCAGGGTGTTTTGATCCCAAATCCAGCCTGGAAAATTCCATCCCAATCCTTCCTTCCATCCTTATCCCAGTTCCCAGAGTTTGGAACAATCCTTGGATCCTTCCAAGGATTCCCAGTGGAATTCCCAGTGGAATCAAAGCTTTGATTTCTGATCCATTTCCCAGGAATTCCTGGGAATTCCAAACCATCCCCAGGCATTCACAGTTTCCCTGGGGTGGATTCCACCCTCTGGAGGATTTGTTTTTCCCGGATTTGGGAAGTGCAGCTCCCAAAATCTGCTTCCAGCACCAGCTCGGGGCCTCTTTCCTGCTTGGAATTCCCAGCTGATGCCAGGGTGAGCCTTGGAGCACAACCCCAATCCCAGAGGAGCTCTGGGATGAATCCCAAGGAATGATCACATCCTTGGAGCACAACCCCAATCCCAGAGGAGCTCTGGGATGAATCCCAAGGAATGATCACATCCTTGGAGCACAACCCCAGTCCCAGAGGAGCTCTGGGATGAATCCCAAGGAACAACCATGGGATTTTCCCAACACACCAATCCTTGGAGCACAACCAGACAGAATTCCCTCGGGAACATCCAGGCTTTACCTCCTCCTCGCTCTCCATCGGGGGCTGAGCCTTGGAGCCCGATCCCAGCCCCACAATTCCCACAGAATTCCTTCAGGAACACCCCAGCTTTACCTCCTCCTCGCTCTCCACCTTGGGGTTGCTGCTGAGCCTTGGAGCCTGATCCCAGCCCCACAATTCCCACAGAATTCCCATGGGGAACAGCCCAGCTTTACCTCCTCCTCACTCTCCACCTTGGGGTTGCTGGCTGAGCTCGATCCCAGCCCCACAATTCCCACAGAATTCCCCCAAGAACAGCCCAGCTTTACCTCCTCCTTGCTCTCCACCTTGGGGTTGCTGCTGAGCCTTGGAGCTCGATCCCAGCCCCACAATTCCCACAGAATTCCCCCGGGAACAGCCCAGCTTTACCTCCTCCTCGCTCTCCACACGGGGCTGAGCCTTGGAGCTCGATCCCAGCCCCACAATTCCCACAGGCAGAATTCCCTCGGGAACAGCCCAGCTTTACCTCCTCCTCGCTCTCCACCTTGGGGTTGCTGGCCGTGCGCTTCAGGTTGCTGCTGAGGCTGATGGACACTGTGGCGTCCGACTTGGACCTCTGGTGAGTCCGCTTGGAGGGCGAGAGCCCCGTGTCGGCGCCCGCCAGCTCCCTCCTCCTGCCCGCCGGCTTCAGCTCGTCCGAGAGGATCAGGCGGCGCAGCTTGGTGCCGCGGGAGTGCCGCTGCGTGGAGATGTGCATGTCCGAGGAGTAGGCGCCCAGCAGCAGCGCGCAGCGCAGCGAGAAGTCGATGCTCTGGCGGCAGCGGTGCACGATGTAGGGCTTGATGGCATCGCCCACGTCCTCGTCCATGTGGATGTACATGTTGAGCAGCTGCGGCAGGTAGAAATCCACCTCGTCGTCGCGGAAGCAGAAGAGGCGGTTCCCGATGTAGGCCTGCACGCCGGGCTCCTTGGAGTTGTACAGGTAGGAGATGGCCATGGAGATGTCGAAGAGCTTGGACTCGAAGAGGCGCAGCAGCCACGACTGCTTGGCCTGGTTCTGCCGCTTCCGCGCCGTCCTCGCCGCGCCGGAGCTCTCCTCCTCTTCCTCCTGGATCCGCGAGCCGGGCGGGTCGTCCAGGCAGCGGATGGGGCAGCTCTCCCCGTTGGGAACGGCGTCGGGAACGCCGTGGAGCTGCTTGACCTTCTCCAGGACCTCCTCACAGGCCTTCTTGGCCACCTCGGCGTCGATGAGGGCCAGCTCGCCCACGCCCTCCGAGATGACGCTCAGGGAAGAGCCGCTCCCGCCGCTCCCTTGGGAATTCCCCGGCTCCGGGGGGCTCTTCCCAACCGGAGAGTCGCCCATGCTGGAAGAGGGGCGGCGCGGCTCAGAGCTGGAAAAACGGGAAAATTTGGATTAGGGAGCGGATTTGGGAAGGAATTCAAGAGGAGGACCAGTGGAGGGGCTGCGGGAATCAACGATGGGGAAAAACAGGGAAAAACTGGGATTAGGGATGGGATTCAAGGGGAGAAACCCAGGATACACCTGAAGGGAAGATGGACATGAGTTTTCTTCCCTGTTAATTCAAGGATTTTTCCCTGTTAATTTCAGATTTTTCCTTGTTAATTTAAGGGTTTGCTCTATCCCTTCATTTTTCCAACTCACAAAGAAAGGAGGGAAAAAACTCTCAGGAATTCTCCCTAAATATTCCAAGTGAGTCAAACCTAGGTCACCTCCCAGATACCACTTCTCCTTTTTTTTTTTCCCTCTTCTTTTCCTCTTTTTTTTTTTCCCCCCACTTCTTCTCCAAGAAATCCCAGATGCCCAAATCCTGACCAAAGTCTGAGAGTTTGGCTCAGTTCTGTCATTCCCAGCACTCCAAATCCCACATTCCTGAGATTTTTGTGGCTCTTAGACCCCAAAAACCCCATGAGAACTGGAAAAAATCCCTGATGCTCCCATTTCTCAACAAATCCCAAAAAAATGGGGGTGGAAATTCAGGATTCCACTCTTCCCCACACTTCCCATCCCAGTTTTTCCACATATCCCAGACTTTCCTCTTCTATCCCAATCCCAAATCCCTACATGGCTCCAACCCAAAAATTCCAGGGATTCCCTCCCTTCCCAAGGTGTTTGGCTCATCCCAAAAACACGCATCCAAAGCTTTTCCCTCTTCCCAGAAATGCCACAGGATTCCAAAGCCTGGAGCAATCCCACAATCCTGGAATTCCCTCCTCCCGTGGATCACACTCCGTACAAAAATTCCCACTTTTTGAGGTTTTCCAAGTTTTTGCTTTTCCCAAAGGTTGGGAAATAAACTGGGAAAAGGCAGGGACAAAAAAAGCAGGGAAAAAAAGAAGCAGGTATCTACATTCCCACCTGGATCCCAAGGGCAGCTCCTGGGCTGATCCAAGGATGGACCCTGAACTGTGGGATCATAAATTATCTGGGAAATCCGGAGCAGGGATCGCCCAGGAATTCAGGAGCAGAAATCACCCAGAATTTCAGGAGCAGGGATCATCCAGGAATTCCAGGAGGAATTCCAGGAGCAGAGCCCTGAAATCCCGTTCAGAATTCCAAGGAAGAAAGGGATCCAAGGGATTGTTTTCAGCAGATCCACGGGATCCACACCAGGAATGACTCCAAAACCTCAAAAACTCTTCCAGCACTGGGAAGAAAACAGCTGGAAAATCCCCTTTTCCACCCAGTTATTCCCTCCCGAGTTCCAGGGAAGCTGAGAGAATAAAAAGGGAAGGATTACACGTAATTATTTCTCATTATTCAACTTCCCACCAACTCCAAGCGAAGTTTTCAAGGGACAGCATTCCCGAGGAGACGAGTGACCCCCGCCAAGCCGAATTTTACGCAATCCGTGGGAATTCAGAGGGGATTTGGGGCAATTCCACAGCTCCCGGAGGCACCGGACGGCCCCGGGAGGGAGCAGGGGAGGAGGAAGGGTTGGGAAATCACGGCCGGGGGATGCCGGGGGAGGCCGGGGGAGGCCGGGGAAGGCCGGGGAAGGCCGGGGAAGGCGGGGGAAGGCGGGGGAAGGCGGTGGAAGGCCGGGGAAGGCCGGGGAAGGGGAACCGCGGCCGTTCCCCCACAGGGAAGGACCGGGAGCGGTACCTGCAGCAGCGACCCCATCCCGCGCGGCTCCGCTCGGCGAGCGCGGCCCTGCGGCCGCCGCGGGCGGCTCATCCCGGGCACCGGCGGCTGCGGCGGGGAAAGGCGGAAAAACGCCCCGAAATCACCCCCCAAAAAAAAAGAAAACCTCCGCCGGGGGAAAAGGCCACCCCCGTCCCGGCTGCTGCGCCACGAAGGCCGCGGAGGGAACCGGAGGAGGAGGAGGAGGAGGCGAGGCCGGACACGGAGCGGCCGCGGAACCAGCGGGCTGAGCGGGCGGAGAGGCCGCGGCGGGGCCGGGCTGAGCTCGGAGGAGCGGCGCGGAGCGGCGGAAGGGGCGGGCGGAGCGCGGCCGGAGCGGAGCGCGTCCGGCGGAGCCTCCCGGGCCCGGCGGAGCTCCGCAGGCCCGGCCCGGCGCCGCCTCACGGCGCTGAGGGGCGGCCCCGCCGCAGCGCCCCCTGCCGGCCCGGCGGCGCGCGGCGAGGGGCGGGCTCTGCCGCGGGGCGTTGCCTGGGGGCGTGGCCTGTATGCTAATCTTGGTGTGTGGGCGTGGCTTGAGCGCTAATGTGGCGGTGGGCGTGGCCTGGCGTGGAATGGGGCGTGGTTTACAGTGCCAATGGGCGTGGTCTAAACCTCGCGTGTTGGAGAGGGCGTGGCCTCGTGGGCTATTTGCATATATGGTAAAAAGGGCGTGGTCTCGGTACGGGACAAGCCCAACGCGCCCCGCGGGTTCCGCGTTCACCAAAATCGGCGTTTTCGGGGAAAAATCGCCTCGGATGTCGCTGTCACCGCCCGGGGGGCTGGGATGGGGTGTCCCACCCTTGTCAGTGTCCTCTTCCACTGTGCCATGTCCCCTTCCCAGTTCCAGTGTCCCCTCCCAGTGCCCGCGTCCCCTTCCCAGTTCCAGTGTCCCCTCCCAGTGCCAATGTCCCCTTCCCACTCCCCGTGTCCCCTCCCACTGCCCACGCTCACAGACACGACAGTCACACTGCAGTGACTGGTTTTTACTGGTTTTTACTGGTGTGGTGCAGGGGACCCCATCCCTGTGCCCGCCCTCGTGTGTGCTTCGTGGTGCCCGGAGCAGGGTTGTCCCTGTGTGTCCCCCATGGGCGACCCGGCCTGGCTGTGCCCCCGCTGTGCCACAGCCTCTGGTGCCACCCTGGCGCCCATCCTGCCGTCCCTGATGACACTGACGCGGACAGGAGTGATGGGCCTGGCGGGCGCGGTGGCACTGCCAGGCCTGTCCCCAAGGGCGCCACTGCCACTGCCAGGCCTGTCCCCAAGGGTGGCGCTGCCCCTGGACGGGCAGTCCCTGACAGGGATGGCTGCGCTGCCACTGACTGGTGTGTCCATGACGGGGGGACTGCCAGGGATGTGCCTGTCCCCAAGGGTGGCGCTGCCCCTGGACGGGCAGTCCCTGATAGGGACGGTGGCACCGTCCCTCGATGGGCACTCCCTGACAGGGACGGTGGCACTGCCACCCACTGACCCGGCCCCAACAGGGAGCGTGGCACTGTCCCCAGATGGGCAGTCCCCGATGGGGACAGTGGCACCGTCCCTGGACGGGCAGTCCCTGACAGGGATGGTGGCACTGCCACAGGCCAGCGTGTCCCCGAGGGGGAGGATGGCGTGGGCAGGCACCCTCGATTCCACGATGGCGGCGGTGACCCTGGGGATGGAGTCCCCAACAAGGACGGTGGCACTGACAAAGACGGGCGTGTCCACGATGGTGACGGTGCCCCTGGCCAGGCTGGCCTTGACGGGGACGGTGATGCTGCCCAGGATCCTCCTGTCCATCACAGTGCCGCTGAGCGTGACCAGCGCGTCCACGATGGTGGCAGTGCCCCTGGACGGGCAGTCCCTGACGGGCACGGTGGCACTGCCGGCCGCCGCGCTGTCCCCAGGGGTGCCGTAGGCCCAGAAGGGGCTGTCGCTGACGGGGACGGTGGCAGTGCCGGTGACACTGCTGGTGACGGGCGTGTCCACGATGGTGGCAGTACCCCTGGATAGGCTGTCCTTGACAGGGACGGTGGCACTGCCAGAGAGCAGCCTGTCCCCAGCAGTCCCACTGTCCCTGGAGGGGCAGTCCCTGCCAGGAGGGGTGCCACTGTCAGTGACCAGCCTGTCCCCAGCAGTGCCACTGACCGGCCTGTCCTCAACGGGCACGGTGGCAGTGCCACTGACCGGCCTGTCCCCAGCAGTGCCACTGACCGGCCTGTCCTCAACGGGCACGGTGGCAGTGCCACTGACCGGCCTGTCCCCAGCAGTGCCACTGACCGGCCTGTCCTCAACGGGCACGGTGGCAGTGCCCCTGGATGGGCTGTCCCTGGTGGGGACAGTGGCACTACTCCTGCCCGGCCTGTCCCTAGTGTCAGGGGCCCTGGGGGACCTGTCCCTGGTGGGGACAGTGCCACTGGCCCTGGGGGACCTGTCCCTGATGGGGACAGTGCCACTGGCCCTGGGGGACCTGTCCCTGAAAGGGACGGTGGCACCATCCCTGACCAGCCTGACCCCGTTGCCACTGGCCCTGGCTGCGCTGTCCCTGATGGGGACACTGCCCCTGGCAGTGACCAGCCTGTCCCCAGTGGTGGCACTGCCCCTGCCAAGCCTGTCCCCTCTGCCACTGTCTCTGGGTGACCTGTCCCTGACGGGGACAGTGGCACTGCCCCTGCCCGGCCTGTCCCCAGAGGTGGCACTGCCCCTGGCTGCGCTGTCCCTGATAGGGACAATGGCCCTGCCACTAACTGGCCTGTCCCCAGTGCCACTGCCCCTGGCTGCGCTGTCCCTGGTGGGGACACTGCCACTGCCCCTGCTCAGCCTGTCCCCAGTGCCACTGTCTCTGGGTGACCTGTCCCTAACAGGGACAGTGGCACTGCCCCTGCTCAGCCTGTCCCCAGAGGTGGCACTGCTCCTGGAGTGGCTGTCCCTAACAGGGACAGTGGCACTGCCGGTCACCTCTCTGTCCCCAGTGCCACTGCCCCTGGGTGAGCTGTCCCTCCTGGGGACAGTGGCACTGCTGGAGACTGGCTTGTCCCTGGCAGGGACGGTGGCACTGCCCTTGACGGATCTGTCCCCAGGGGTGGCACTGCCCCTAGCTGTGCTGTCTCTGACGGGGACAGCAGCACTGTCCCTGCCTGGCCTGTCCCCAGTGGTGGCACTGCCCCTGCCCAGCGTGTCCCCAGTGGTGCCACTGGCTCTCGCTGACCTGTCCTTAACAGGGATGGTGGCACTGCCACCGTCTGAGCTGTCCCTGATGGGGACATTGCCACTGCCAGCAACTGGCCTGTCCCCAGTGGTGGCACTGCTCCTGCCTGGCCTGTCCCCGGTGGTGGCACTGCCCCTGGTTGCGCTGTCCCTGACAGGGACGGTGGCACTGCCCCTGCCCGGCCTGTCCCCAGCGGTGGCACTGCTCCTCACTGGCCTGTCCCCAACAGCAGTGGCCCTAGGTGACCTGTCCCTGGTGGGGACACTGCCACTGCCCCTGCTCAGCCTGTCCCCAGTGCCACTGTCTCTGGGTGACCTGTCCCTAACAGGGACAGTGGCACTGCCCCTGCTCAGCCTGTCCCCAGTGGTGGCACTGCTCCTGGAGTGGCTGTCCCTGGCAGGGACGGTGGCACTGCCGGTCACCGCTCTGTCCCCAGTGCCACTGTCCCTGGGTGAGCTGTCCCTCCTGGGGACAGTGGCACTGCTGGAGACTGGCTTGTCCCTGGCAGGGACGGTGGCACTGCCCCTGACTGATCTGTCCCCAGGGGTGGCACTGCCCCTGGCCAGACTGTCCTTGACTGGTGCAGTGGCACGGCCACCAGCTGGGCTGTCCCTGACAGGGACAGTGGCACTCCTGGTGATCGGCCTGTCCCCAGTGGTGGCACTGGCCCGGGGTGAGCTGTCCTTGACAGGAATGGTGGCACTGCCACTGACTGGCTTGTCCCTGGCAGGGACGGTGGCACTGCCGGTCACCGCTTTGTCCCCAGTGCCACTGCCCCTGGGGGAGCTGTCCCTCCTGGGGACAGTGGCACTGCTGGAGACTGGCTTGTCCCTGGCAGGGACGGTGGCACTCCTGGTGACCGGCCTGTCCCCAGCAGTGCCACTGCCCTGGGGTGAGCTGTCCCTGGCAGGGACGGTGGCACTGCCACCGACTGGCCTGTCTCCAGTGGCACTGGCCCTGGAGGGGCTGTCCTTACTGGGGACAGTGGCACTGCCACCAGCTGGGCTGTCCCTGGCAGGGATGGTGGCACTCCTGGTGACCGGCCTGTCCCCAGTGGTGGCACTGGCCCGGGATGAGCTGTCCCTGACAGGGATGGTGGCACTGCCAGGGCCTGGCTTGTCCCTGGCAGGGACGGTGGCACTCCTGGTGACCGGCCTGTCCCCAGCAGTGTCACTACCCCGGGATGAGCTGTCCCTAACGGGGATGGTGGTCCTGTCAGGGACTGGCTTGTCCTTGACAGGGACAGTGGCACTGCCACCAGCTGGGCTGTCCCTGGCAGGGACGGTGGCACTCCTGGTGACCGGCCTGTCCCCAGTGGTGGCACTGGCCCGGGGTGAGCTGTCCCTGACAGGGACGGTGGCACTGCCAGGGACTGGCTTGTCCTTGACAGAGGCAGTGACACTGCGGCTGTCCCCAGTGGTGGCACTGCCCCGGGATGGACTGGTCTTGACAGGGACAGTGCCAGTGCCACCAGCTGGGCTGTCCCTGGCAGGGATGCTGGCACTCCTGGTGACCGGCCTGTCCCCAGCAGCGTCACTGCCCTGGGATGAGCTGTCCTGCCTGGGGACGGTGGCACTGGCCCTGGCCAGACTGTCCTTGACGGGGATGGTGCCACTGCCACCAGCTGTGCTGTCCGTGATGGTGCCACTGCCCCTGGCTGGCCTGTCCCCACTGGTGGCACTGATCCTGGAGGGACTGTCCTTGCCAGGGATGCTTGCGCTGCCATCAGCAGTGGGGACAGTGGCACTTCGAGCAACCGCCCTGTCCCTGGTGGCACTGGCCCTGGAGGGGCTGTCCTTACTGGGGACAGTGGCACTGCCGGGGACTGGCTTGTCCCTGACAGGACTGATGGCACTGCCACCAGCTGGGCTGCACCTGATGGGAATGGTGGCACTCCTGGTGACCGGCCTGTCCCCAGCGGTGGCACTGGCCCGGGATGAGCTGTCCTTGATGGGGACAGTGGCACTGCCAGAGTCCAGCCTGTCCTCCATAGTGGCACTGCCAGTGACGGGTCCATCCTCCTCAGTGGCACTGCCAGTGTCCCACCCGTCCTCAGCGTCACTGGCCATGGGCGAGCTGCCCCCGACAGGGACAGTGGCACTGCCACCACCAGGGATGCTGACACTGCCACTGACCGGGCTGTCCCTAAGGGGGGTGGTGGCACCTCCCTCAGCTGGGTTGTCCCCAAGGGGGACAGTGGCACTGCCACTGACCAGGCTGTCACTAGGGGGGACAGTGCCACTGCCACTGACTGAGCTGTCACTAGGGGGGACAGTGGAACTGCCCCCACCAGCAGAGCCACCACCAAGGACGCTGCCACTGACTGGGCTGTCACTAACAGGGACAATGGCACTGTCACTGACTGAGCTGTCCCTAAGGGGGACAGTGGCACTGCCACTGACTGAGCTGTCCCCAAGGGGGACAGTGGCACTGTCACTGACCGGGCTATCACTAACAGAGACAGTGGCACTGTCACTGACTGAGCTGTCCCTAAGGGGGACAGTGGCACTGCCACTGACTGAGCTGTCCCCAAGGGGGACAGTGGCACTGTCACTGACCGGGCTGTCACTAACAGAGACAGTGGCACTGTCACTGACTGAGCTGTCCCCAAGGGGGACAGTGGCACTGTCACTGACTGAGCTGTCCCCAAGGGGGACAGTGGCACTGTCACTGACCGGGCTGTCACTAACAGAGACAGTGGCACTGTCACTGACTGAGCTGTCCCCAAGGGGGACAGTGGCACTGTCACTGACCGGGCTGTCACTAACAGAGACAGTGGCACTGTCACTGACTGAGCTGTCCCCAAGGGGGACAGTGGCACTGTCACTGACTGAGCTGTCCCCAAGGGGGACAGTGGCACTGTCACTGACCGGGCTGTTACTAATGGGGACAGTGGCACTGTCACTGACTGCACTATCACTAACAGGGACAGTGGCACTGTCACTGACCAAGCTGTCACTAACAGGGACAGTGGCACTGTCACTGACCGGGCTGTCACTAATGGGGACAGTGGCACTGTCACTGACCAAGCTGTCACTAACAGGGACAGTGGCACTGTCACTGACTGAGTTGTCACTAATGGGGACAGTGGCACTGCCACTGACTGCACTATCACTAACAGGGACAGTGACACTGCAACTGACTGAGCTGTCCCCCGGAGGGACGCTGGCACTGTCACTGACCGGGCTGTCACTAACAGGGACAGTGGCACTCCCATTGACCATGCTGTCCCCAAGGGGTACAGCACCACTGCCACCGACCGAACTGTCACTAAGGGGGACAGTGGCACTGCCACTGACTGGGCTGTCCCCAAGGAGGACAGTGGCATTGCCACTGACTGGGCTGTCCCCAAGGGGGACAGTGGCACTTCCACTGACTGAGCTGTCCCCAGTGGGGGTGGTGGCACTGCCACTGACCGTGCTGTCCCCAAGGGGGACAGTGGCACTGCCATTGAACAGGCTGTCCCCAGGGGAGACAGTGGCACTGCCACTGACCGGGCTGTCCCCACCAGCCACCGTGTCACCGTCAACCTCCATGCTATCCCCAGCAGTCTCAGCAGCACCGCCAGCGATGCCCCTGTCCCCACCGGGCGCGGTGGCACTGCCACCCCCGGGTGACCCCGCTGGGGGCGGCGAATCCCCTCCCTCATCCCCCCTGGGGACCTCCGCGTCCTCGGGTGACATCGCCGCGTCCTCGGGCCGCTTGCGGGGCCTCCCGCGCCGCCTCTTGTGCGCGCTGCCATCCGCGGCCGCCTCCAGCGCCCGCTTGGTGCCCTTGCCGCGCTGTCCCTCGCCGTCCCCCGCCGCCCGGGCCCCGCCGCCGGGGGTCTCGGCCGCGGGGACCCCCACGCCGGGCAGCAGCACGTTGAGCACGGGGATGGCGGCGGGGCCCGGGGCCAGCGCGGTGCCCACGGGCAGCGGCAGCGCCACCTTGACCGTGCCGCCCAGCGGCGCCGCCGTCAGCCGCGGCACCAGCACCGGCGGGGCCGGAGCAGCACCGGGGCCCGGGGGCCGCTCGGTGGCGGGGGCGCGGGGCAGCAGCAGCGGCAGCCGCGCCACCAGCGCGTTCACCTGCGGGCTGCTGCCCGGCCGCGCCGCCTCCGCCGCCTTCTTCTTGTCCGGCCGCGGGGGAACGGGGCCCTTGGGCACCGCGTCCTTCTTGGCCTGGGCGAGGGACGGGGTCAGCGCTGCGGTCAGCTCCGAGCGCCCAGCGGGTCGGGGAGGGGCCCGGGGTCTCACCTGCTCCTGCCCGCTGTCCGAGGGGTCCGGGCCGTTCTTCTTGGGGGCTGCGGCTGGCCGAGGCTCCTGCGGGGGCTTGTCCGTGCTCTCTGTGGGAGGAGGGGACGTGACCGGGGGGCAGGGGACACGGGGAGTGGGGAGGGGACATTGGGAGTGGGGAGGGGGCACGGGGAGTGGGGAGGGGACATTGGGAGTGGGAAGGGGGACACTGGAACTGTGGAGGGGACATTGGGAGTGGGGAGGGGACACTGGGAGAGGGGAGGGTGCACTGGGAGTGGGGAGGGGGCACTGGGAGTGGAGAGGGGGCACTGGAACTGGGAAGGGGACGCGGGCACTGGAAGGGGACACTGGAACTGTGGAGGGGACACGGGGAGTGGGAAGGGAACATTGGCACTGGGAGGGGACACTGGAACTGTGGAGGGGACATGGCACAGTGGAAGAGGACACTGACAAGGGTGGGACACCCCATCCCAGCCCCCCGGGCGGTGACAGCGACATCCGAGGCAATTTTCCCCCGAAATCGCCGATTTTGGTGAACGCGGGCGCGTTGGGCTTGTCCCGTACTGAGACCACGCCCCCAGTGGGGTGACAGCGTCCCCGGGGGGTGACAATGTCCCTAAAGGGGTGACAGTGCCCCCAGGGGGGTGGCAATGCCGCCGGGGTGGTGGCAGCATCCCCAGGGGGGTGGCAATGCCCCCAGGGGGGCGTCCCCAAGGGGGGTGGCAGTGTCCCCGGTGTCCCTGGCCGACCTTGGACCACCATGGCCATGAGCAGGTCGGCGTGGGCTGAGCGGGGGCTGATGATGTGCTGCTGCAGCAGGAACTGCGCCACCTCCACGATGTTGTTGAAGGAGCGGCGCAGGATCTTCTCGGCCCAGTCGCACGTCAGGGCACACGCGGCCTCCGTCACCTCGCTGCTGTAGGAGTGCGCCAGCTCGGCCAGCTCCGCCTGCGGGGACAGCACGGGGACATCAGACAGCGGGGTGGTGACACCAGGACACTGTCACCTCACTGCTGCAGGGTTCTGACTGCTGGGGACAGGACAGTGCGTGAAACCAGGGACAGGAGGACAGCAGGGACGGGACAGCAGGAGGGTCACGGTGTTGAGCAGGACACGGGAATGAGCCCACGGAGCGGGATGGGGACAGGATGGGATTCATGGAGCAAAGCAGGACCTGCATCCCACCACCCCACCCCACCCCACCCCACCCCACCCCACCCCACCCCACCCACCCCACCCCACCCCACCCCACCCCACCCCATCCCATCCCATCCCATCCCATCCCATCCCATCCCATCCCATCCCATCCCATCCCATCCCGCAGCTCTCACCGTCTCGGTCACTTTGAGGTCCAGGCTGGGCAGGGGAGGAAGGCTGACCACGGTCTTCCTCCGGATCCCGCCATAGCAGTACGTTGGGAGGGTCAAGGATTTTTTCCCCAAGCCCAAAAAACCGGGAACCAACCCCTGAAGAACCCTCAGGAATGGGAAAAACTGGGGAAAACCGGGAAAACCAGGAAAAAGAATGGGAAAAAAACAAAAAAAAACCCAGGAAAAACCATGAAAAAGAGTAGCTGGCACCAGGAATTCCAGCCTGGGGAAGGATATTTGGATTGTCCGCGGCCTCCCAGGCGCCGGGCTTTGATGCTCGGGAAGATTTCCCGGATGATCTTGCCGAAGTTGGCCGTGCTCAGCGGGCGGCAGCCGAGGTTGTCACAGTAGCGCCTGCGGGGAGGGAGCCGGCGTCACCGGGAATCCCGGGATACTGCCAGGGAATCCCGGGATATTGGCTGGGAATCCCGGGATACTGCCAGGGAATCCCGGGGCAGCGGGTCTCGGGGATGGGGGGAACCTGGGACACCAGGAAAGAGGACATGAGACACCTGGACAGGGGCACATGGGGACATGGGACATCAAGACAGCGGGTCCCCAGGGAGGTGGGGACGTGGGAACATGGGACACGAGGAGAAGGACATGGGACACTAGGACATGGGGACATGGGACACCAGGAGAAGGACGTGGGACACCAGGACAGGGACATGGGACACCAAGACAGGGGTCCCTAGGGAGGTGGGGACATGGGACACGAGGAGAAGGACGTGGGACACCAGGACAGGGGTCCCCAGGGAGGTTGGGACATGGGGACATGGGGACATGGGACACCAGGACAGGGGCACATGGGACACCAAGACAGGGGGACATGGAACACCAGGACAGGGGTCCCCCAGGGAGGTGGGGACATGGGGACATGGGGACATGGGACATGAGGAGAAGGATGTGGGACACCAGGACAGGGGGACATGGAACACCAGGACAGGGACATGGGGACACGGTGCCGTGGGACACCCCGGCTCACTTGTAGGCGTCGTAGACGTCCTGCTTGGGCAGGCAGGTGTCCGTGTGCTCCTCCAGGTGGTTGCGGATCCAGCTGCAGGCGTGCATGTGCTCGGCCGTGCCCAGCGCGCTCAGCTCCAGTGAGGAGCCGCTGCCGCTGCTCCGCGGGGATCCCAGGCCAGGGGTGCCACAGCAGGGACCAGGGACGGGAGGCACGGCCGGGGAGGGGAGGCACAGGGAGAAGAGGCAGTCGGCATCTCTGTCCTGGCTCTGGTCCGACAGATCCACCCTGGAGCATCCCTGTCCGTGCCATCCCATGGATCCCATCCCATGGATCCCATCCCACCCCATCAGCTCCATCCTGATCCAGTCCTGTCCCAGCTTCATTCCATTCCACCTCCATCCCAAACCCTCCCACTCTCTCATTCCCATCCCACCCCACCTCACCCCACAGATCCCACCCCACAGATCCCACCCCACCTCACCCCACAGATCCCGTCCCACGGATCCCCCCTCACCTCTTCTCGCCCAGGCTGGGCCCCGAGGGCAGCTGCAGGTACAGGTAGAGTTTGTCGCTGTCCGAGAACTTCTGCACATCCTGCTGTGCTCCCGGGACAAGGACAAGGTGACGGATCCAGCGGGACGAGCCCGAGAAACGGGATCAGCCAGCACAGGTGGGAATTCCCTGCCCTCCAGCCCAGCATTCCAGGGGAACACTCACCAGGATGGAGTCCACCTTGCTCTGCACGGATTTGCTGCGTGGGACAGAGGCCGCGATGAGTCAGGGATGATCCCAGAAAATCCTGGGATCGCAATTCCGGCTCTTCCCAAGACTCCCGAGCTCCTTCCAGAGCTCAGAGATCCAGGATGGATCCCGGATGGATCCCACCACACCAGAGGGGTGCTGGACTGGTTTGGCACCAAAAGGGGCCCCTCTGTCCCCCTGGTGTCCCCTGTCCCCATCTCTCCTCCCTCCAGCCCCCAGGATTCCCGGTCCCCATCCCCGGAGCCCCGCCTGGGGCGCCCTGGCGGAATTCCCGAATTCCCGGGGCGCTGCCCTTACGAGATGTTGCCCCGGAGCTCCTGGAGCAGCGTGCTGGACTCGGTGGCACCGCCGCGGGCACTGCCCGGTGACAAAGTGCCCCTCCGGGTGGCTCTGGTCCCCAACTCCCCGTCAGCCATAGCAGCCGCGTCCCGCTGGGAGCCGGGAAAAGCGGGAATTCGGTTCAAAGGCAGGAATAAACCCCATTACGGATTCTCACGGGACACGTGGGCACGGACACGAGCCACGGGCGGCTACGGACACGGGACAGGGCCACCGGCAGCGACCCAGGCAGGGCTGGGGACACCAGGACAGGGGTCCCCGGGGACACCGCGGGCACCGGGAGGAGACCCGGGGGACACGGGGCCATGAGGCCGCCGGAAGCGACCTCCGGGGCCATGAGGCCGCCGGAAGCGAACCCCGGGGCCACCGCAGCCCTCCGCGCCCTCCCCGCGGCCAGGGGCGCTTCCGGCCCGGCGCGACCCCCGCACCGGAGCCGGGGCGGCAGCGGGGGCCGGGACCCCGGAGTGTCCCCGCGTGTCTCCGCGTGTCCCCCGTGTCCCCGCGTGTCCCCGCGCCCGCCCTCCCCCCCCAGCCCCGCACCCACCTGGTCCCGTCCTGCTCGGGGGGTCCCGAGGGGGGGGGGGAGGGGAGGGGTCCCGCCACGTGCCCCGCGCCCCCCGCGCGAACCGAAAGTGGACGCGCCCCTCGCCCGCCGCGCGCGGCCCCTTCTTTTTTTCTGATTGGCCGCGGCGCCGCTGGTCTGCCCGGATACGGCGGCGGCCGCGGCTGTGATTGGATGAGCTTGCCCCCCTCCCCTTCGCCGGCCAGGGGTGAGCGCCCGGATGTGGCGGGGCGGGAGGGGCTGAAATCTGCCTGGCAACAGCGATCTGATTGGTCGGGGCGGGCGGCGCGAGGGGAGACGGGTGTGCAATGAGTGTGCAGGCGGGTCACGTGGGGGGGTCGCGCGCGTGGGGGGCGTGCAACGGAGGGGTCACGTGAGCGTGTCACGTGCGAGTGTGCAAGGGGTGAGCGTGCAAGGGGTGGTCACGTGGGTGTGTCACGTGTGCAAGGCGCGTGCAAGGCGCGTGCAAGGCGCAGGGAAAGGAAAAAGAAAATAATTTTATTTGAATTTATTTCGTCACGCGGGTCACGCACATCCCGCAATTCCCGAATTCCCAAATCCCAGAATTCCTGAATTCCCGAATCCCGGAATTCCCAAATTCCGAAATCTCAAACTCCAAATTCCCGACTCTTGGAATTACCAAATTCCCGACTCTTGGAATTACCAAATTCCCGACTCTTGGAATTCCCAAATTTCAAACTCCGAAATCCTGATTCTTGGAATTCCCAAATTTTCAACTCCTGGAGTTCCGAAATTCCCAAATCCCAGAATTCCCAAATTCCTAAATCTTAAAGTCTGAATTCCCTAATTCCCCACTATTGGAATTCCCAAATCTCGAATTCCCGACTTCCGGATTTCCCGGGGGGGATCGCAGCCAGTCCCCGCATTCCCAAATTCCTAGGAGGGGAAATAAATTGGGTATCAGATTTAAAAAACACCATTTAAATCAATTTTTTAATATAAATCCCCACTCCCACCGGGTGGGAATTCCAAGGAAAAGGGTTTGGAACAGCTGGAAAATTTCGGGGGAAAGGGATTTGAATGGTTCAAATTCCATGGAGGAATTCCAGCCTCTCCCTGAGGGGAAGGATTTTTTCATTGTGGATTTTCCCGGGATTTGATCCCGGGATTTGATCCCAGGATTTGTTGTTGACTTTTCCTGCTTCTTTTTTTTTTTTTTTTTTTTTTTTTTTTCCCTGGATTTCTGATCTCGGGTTTCGGGTCGTTATTCCCAAAAAATGCCCTTTTTCCACACAAAAATGCCACTTTTAGGGAATAACCGGTAAACTCAGAGAGACGAGGGGAGGATCCTAAAACCCCCAAACCCCAAAATCCCCAGGGAAGAGGACCTGGAGCTCCCCGACTTTTCCAGGGGCTCCTTTGGAATGGGAGAGGGAAAATCCCGCAGTGCCGAGGGTTTTTGGGGAAGTTACAGATTTTTATTGGGAAAGGGGAAGAGTGGAGAAGTTTTAATTGAAGATAAATTAACTGGACGGGGTTTTAATTGCAGGGGGCGAGGCTTCGGAACGCGGAGTTCGGGATTGTGGGATTGTGGGATTTTTTGAGATTTGGGGATTTTTTTGGACTTTAGGATGGATGGGACCTTAAAGCTCCGGTGGCCGCAGGAGCTGCCAGGCTGAGCTTGGGCAATTCCAGGGATGGGAAATCCATGGAAAAACCTGAGCCAGGGAAGGATTTATCCCAATTATTCCGCATTATTTCCGGGCAAAACCTTCTCCGGGAGCCCCCAGGGATAAAACACGGCGGGAAAAGAGAGGGGGGGGGGGGAAAGGAGATAAAAAAGGGATAAAAGAGGAATCAAAAAGGGATACAAGAGGGATAAAATAGGGATTAAATCCACCCCTGGAAGCAAACCCCGGGAAAAGAACCAGCGCCGGGAATTTCTCCCGGACACTTCCAGCGATCCCCGCACGGCCTGGCCCGGCCCGGCCCGGCCCGGCCCGGCCCGACCCGGCCCGGGGATTTCCAGGCCCCGCCGGGATTGGTTTGTCCCGGGATTTTTCCCGGAATGAGCCTCGGGAAGCTGCAGCTGATGCAGGAAAAACTTTATTGATTGCAGGGAAAGCAGAGCTGCCCGGGGAGGGGGACGGGGACCGGGAACAGGGGACAGGGATGGCCGGGAATGGCCCGGGGGATCCCAAACCCTGAAATCACCTGGGGCACCCCAAAGCCCGAATCCCCCCAAACCCATCACCCAGGGCACCCCAAAGCCCGAATCCCCCCAAAGCCATCCCCCAGGGCACCCCAAAGCCCGGATCCCCCAAACCCATCACCCGGGGCATCCCAAAGCCCGGATCCCCCCAAACCCATCCCCCAGGGCACCCCAAAGCCCGGATCCCCCGGGAGCCCCGGTGCCGCAGCCGAGGCCGGCGCTGCCGGCGGGACAGCGGCGCTGCCGGGGTGGCTCAGGGCAGGGTCACGGATTTGGAATCGCCGCCGGGGAAGCGAATCTCGTGCGCCAGGCACGGCCCGTTGGGCTCCTTGCCGAAATCCACCAGGAAGTTCTTGTTGACGGTCAGGCCGCCCTTGTCCGTGTCCACGTCGAGCTGCAGCATCACCGAGCCCTCCCTGCGCGGGGACAGCGGCGGCTCGTGGGACAGCGCCCCGGGGCCGCTGCGGGGAGCGCCCGGCCGGGGCCAGCGGCACGGGCTGGGCCGCCTCTGGCTCCCCGCTGCCCGCAGGAGGGGCACAAAGCCGTGCGCAGGACGGGCTCGGCGCCTCCTGCTCCTCCCCAGCTCGCCCTGCAGCGGCTCAGGCTGCGCCCGGCCAGGCCGGACCCCCTTGGGCCGAGCTCAGCCCGGGCTCGGCTCCATCCCGGCCCCGCCGGGGCTCGGCCGGGAGCGGCTCCGGGGCAGCCCCGAGGGGTCGCGGCCCCTTCCCCACGCCCGCCCGGGCCCGCGGAGCCTTTGGCAGCCGCGGGTGGCTCACTTGATCAGGCTGGGGTAGAACTGCTGGTCCCAGGTGCTGTAGAAGGAGTTGGTCACGTAGAGCCGCTTCCCGTCCAGGCTCAGCTGCAGCGCGGCGGGGCCGCCGTACACGCGCTTGCACTGGAACACACGGACTGGGCTTACTGGGGGCACTGGGACACACGGACTGGGGGCACTGGGACACACGGACTGGGGGACTGGGGGCACTGGGAGCGCTGGGACACACGGACTGGGGGCACTGGGGGCACTGGGAGCACTGGGATGCACGGACTGGGGTTAATGGGAGCACTGGGGGCATCGGGGCTGCTGCCATCAGGGACAGTGAGAGCACGCTCAGGGTCACCCGCGCTCGGGTGAGCACACACAGCCACGCTCAGCCGGGCACACACTCACCGCCCACACCCAGGTGAGCACGCACCCACGCTCCGGTGCGCACACGCTCACCCACGCTCAGGTGAGCACGCACCCACGCTCCGGTGCACACACACTCACCCACGCTCCGGCTCAGCCCCAGCCACGCTGCCCCGTCCCGCCCAGGCGCTGCCGGCCCTGCCGGCCGCTCACCTTGACCACCAGCGGCTCGGGCTGGCACTTGAGCTCCTCGTCCCTGCACACGGTCACGGGGCCCCCTCGCAGGATGCTGCCGCCCACGAACACCTGCAAGGGCCGCGCTGGCACACGAGCGTTCCGCGGCCGCGGCCCCGCGGGCCCCGCTCCCCCCCGGGCCGGGCGCTGCCCCTCACCTGCCCCACCAGCCGGGGCTTGCAGTTCCTGGCCAGCTCGTACTGCCGGATGTCCCCGTGCCACCAGTTGCTCACGTACAGGAACCGGTCGTCCGGGCTGATGACGAGGTCGGCGATGAAGGCTGCGGGCAGAGCCGGGGCTCAGGGCACGGGCAGAGCCGGGGGGCGGCGCGGGGGCCTGGCCGGAGCTGGCCTTTGGGGCAGGGACGGGCACATCGGGCTCGGCCAGCCTTTGGGCTCGGCCAGGATTGGGGGTCACCGAGCAGGGCTCTGGAGCCGCCCGGCCGGGCTCTGCGGTCACCGCCCGGGCTGTGCCCGGCTGCAGAACGCGCCCGGGGAAGAGGAATGCCAGCCCCGAGGGCACACGAACCTGGCATCGTGGGCATGATCCAGCCCCTCACGTCCTTGGCCGGGATCCGGATCACCTCCTCCACGGCCCAGTTGTCTCTCTGCACAGGGACACCGAGCCCGGCTGAGCCGCGCTGCCCCCGGCCCGAGCCGAGCCGAGCCGAGCCGGGCACAACGGGCATCCCCCCGCTGCCCCGCAAGCCCCGGATCTAGTGCTCCCTGGCCCCGCTGCTCCTCCTCCTCCTCCTCCTCCTCCTCCTCCTCCTCCTCCTCCTCCTCCTCCTCCTCCTCCTCCTCCCTGCCGGCTCCCCCAGCCCCGGGCCGCTGCCGCCGCTCGCACTCGCCTCGCAGGATCTGTAGAGGCGGAAGATGGTCCCGCTCAGGGCACAGCCCACGTAGCCCTCGGCGGCCTCGGGGCTGTGCAGGAAGCGCACGCTCAGCGGCAGGGAATCCTCGCCCAGGTCGAAGCACTGCGTGAGGCTGCGGCACGACAAGTTCCACACGTTCAGGCGGCGGCCGAAGACCCCTGCGGGACACGGGGGGAAAGGCTCGGGGGTGTCCGGGGACAGGCACCGCTCCCCGGAGGGCTCCTGCTGGGGAGCGGCACGGAAAGGGCAGCAGCTGGGCAGGAGAAACTGGGAAATGCAGCATTTGGGGAGGAGAAACTGGGAAATGCAGCATTTGGGGAGAGCACAGAGGAATGCAGGATTTGGGGAGAGCACAGAGGAATGCAGGATTTTGGAGCAGCCCGGCCCTGCCCGCCCTGGGTTCCAGCCCTGCCCATCCTCAGCCCGAGCCTGGCAAAGGCTCTGGGGCTCAAATCGGCCCCTCGGGGGCACCGAGCCCCGCCAGCCCCGCGCTCAGCCCTGCCATCGCTGCCAGCCGCGTGTCCCCACCTTTCTTGAGGTCCTCGGGGTTGAAGCCACGCCCGGCCAGTCTGGGCACCATCCCGGCCGAGCTGACCAGCACGTTGTGCTGGGCCTGGTACCAGAAGTCGTAGCCGGTCGGGGGAGCCTCACACTCGTTCTCCCAGTTGCCCTTCAGGTCGTAGCTCTCTCCGTCCAACTGCAGGAAGCCACCTGGGACACGCGAGGGACGTGGCGGTGACAAAGCCAGGCTCCCGCCTTCCCAGGGGGACTCCCGGGATGGCAGTTCGGGCAGGGACATTGGAGTTCGGGCAGGGAAACGGGCATTCGGGCAGGGAAATTGGAGTTCGGGCAGGGAAACGGGCGTTCGGGCAGGGAAACGGGCGTTCCGGGAGGCACAATTCACCTTTGCCGTTGCCAGCGGGGTCGCCCATGTTGGCGATCAGGATGTCCCCGTTGGGCAGCGGGTGCGTGACAGCCAGGTAGCCCTTGTTGCACTTCCAGAAGACATCCACGGGCTCGATCATCTGCAAAAATCGGCGCAAAGTTCAGCCTCCGCCTGCTCGGCGCCTTTCCCGGCATCACCGAATCCTCCCTCCGCGCCTCCCTCCCGGAGCCCCCCGCCGTTCCCCTCCCTCCCTCCCTGGCTCGCTGCCGCCCCGGGCTCGGCCCGGCCGTACCTTGCAGATCCGAGGCGCCCGGCACTGGGAGCCCACATCCACCACGTAGATGCGGGAGGAGATGAGGCACGGCAGGACCAGCCTGGTCCTTCTGGCCGCGGCGCCGCTGTCGAAGCAGCCGCAGGCGGGGCCCCAGCCCGCGCAGTGCAGCTCGTCCTTGAGGTTGGGCATGGGCAGCCGGTGGATCACCTGGGCACGGCCAAGGCAGCTCAGCCCGGGCCGGGCCGGGCCTGCACAAAGGGGAGCGGCCCCGGGCTTTGGGGGGCTCCGGAGAGGGGCCGGGAGCGGCCCCGGGCTTTGGGGGGCTCCGGAGAGGGGCCGGGAGCAGCCCCGGGCTTTGGGGAGCTCCGGAGAGGGGCCGGGAGCGGCCCCGGGCTTTGGGGGGCTCCGGAGAGGGGCCGGGAGCGGCCCCGGGCTTTGGGGGGCTCCGGAGAGGGGCCGGGAGCGGCCCCGGGCTTTGGGGGACTCCGGAGAGGGGCCGGGAGCGGCCCCGGGCTTTGGGGGGCTCCGGAGAGGTGCTGAGAGCGGCCCCGGGCTTTGGGGGGCTCCGGAGAGGGGCCGGGAGCGGCCCCGGGAGCAGAGGGGACTGGAGAAGGTGTCCCTCGGGTTTCTTTTCCCCGAAAGAAGAAGAAGAGCTCCCCGGGCAGCCCCGGAGGGCGCGGGGAGCGCGGCCCCGCAGCGATCCCGCCCCGGGCCCAGCGGGACCGGTACCTGGCCGTAGTGGCAGGAGCGCGGGTTGAGGTCCACGGTGGCCAGGAAATCGGGCTGCTCGGTGCAGGTGCTCCTGTAGGTGCAGGTCACGTAGGCGACCTCCTCCCTCGGCGCTGGGGACACAAAAGCGCGCTCAGACCGCGCCGGGAAGCCCCGAACGGCGCGGGGAAAGCTCCGGGCGGCTCTCACGAGCGACCGCCGGGATTTTCGGGCTGCTGCGATTCCCTCCAGCTCCCCTCGGGCGGCCCCGGGGCCGCTTCTGAGCCGGGAACAACCAGGAGGAATCTCCGGCAGCTCTGGGAAAGGGGCTCAGCACAGACCCTGCGCTCAGGGGGACCCCCAGAAACCCCAAATCCCCCCGTTCCAGCCCAGCCCCCGGCCAGCACTCGCCTTTCAGCACGTCGGGACACGCGGGGTACTCGTAGCACGGAGCTCTGCACCTGTCTGGGGAGCAAAGGGGACACCGTGAGCCCGGCCCGGGGCCCGCACCCCGACCCCGTTCCGAGGATCCCTCCCTCCCCCGGGACCCCCGGGGCCACCCCGGCCCTCCCTGGGCACCCGGACGAGCGCTCGGGGTGGCGCTGCCACCCCCCGGCTGCGGGACAGGGACCCTGGGGACAGCGCGGGGCCGAGCCCGGCTGGGGACACCGGAGCCCGCGGGGACCCCTCCCCATCGCGGGGACGGGACCGGGCACGGACGGGACGGGGACAGAGCTGTGCCCTGAGCCGGGATGGGGACAGAGCTGTCCCCTGAGCCGGGATGGGGACAAAGCTGTCATCCGGAGCTGGGATGGGGACAGAGCTGTCACCCATAGCTGGGATGGGGACAGAGCTGTCACCCGGAGCCGGGATGGGGACAGAGCTGTGCCCTGAGCCGGGACAGGACGGGGACAGAGCTGTCACCCGGAGACGCACACGCTGGAAGCTCCAGCACGGTCAATCCCTCTGCATCCCCGGCGCTGCGGGGCGAGGCCGGGGGGTCCCTTACCCATGGCTGCAGCTTCGGGGGTCGCGGTGCTGGCGGCGGAGGAGCCGGAGCTGAGGGGCAGCTGCTGCTGTCTCGGGGCTGGAGCGGCTGTGCCGTGCCCTGGCTGCTGCCGGGGGCCTTTTATCCCCGCCAAAGGGTGGGGGGAGCGGGGCCAAGCCCAGGGAGGGGCTGCCCAGCGCTTGGGAGGTGCCAGCCCGGCGCTGCGGCTTCTCTCCTCCTCCCCGCCGCCAATCTGGGCCCAAATCTGCTGCTCCCTGCAGCTCCCGAAGCCCCAAACCTCGCCGGCCCCGGCTGGTCCCGGCCTCGCTCCGCACCCGCAGCGGCCTCCGCCGAGCCGGGCCCGTGCCCGGGGCACCCCACCCCTGCTCCTGGTCCTCACAGGGGGATCCCGCTCCCCATCCCCATCCCAGGGAGCAGCCCCGCAGGGTCCCCGAGCGGGCTCTGCACAGGGACAGTGGTCTGGGATCTCCGCCTGGAGAAAAGGGCGATCCCGGCGAATTTCGGGTCTGCCAGGAGGGATCTGGGATCTGATCCCAGGAACAGGTCCAGGACAAGAGGGAACGGCCTCGAGCTGCGGCAGGGGAGGCTCAGGGTGGGACATCTGGGGAAATTCTTCCTGCAAACGGGAAAATGCCTCTCCCTGCCCGGTGTGATTTGGAGTGGAGAATTCCTGGTCGTTTGTCTGGGTGATCGGGGGGGATTGGTCCCATCTTGGACTCGGTGATCCTGGGTGGATTTTCCAGCTTCAAAGATCCTGGAATTCTCTGAAAGGTCCCTTTAACACTCAGCGCTATTTCCAAACAACAAACCCAGTTCCTAAATCCCCCCAAAGTGAGCGAATCCTACAAAAACCACAGCAAATGAACGTATAGAAGAACTCGACATTCCCGTGCTGAGCCTGGCCGGGAGGACATAAAGCTGCGGCTGATAAGATATAGATGCTGATAACAGCTGCGATTATTTCCTGCCCCTCCCTGCGCCCAGGTGAGCTGGGCTGGTTCTCCCTGTGCTCGTTGCGGCTTTTCCATGACCACAGGTGGGGGCAGCGTCCCTCCAGCCCGGCTCGGGAAGTTTCCCGGCTTCTCCTGCTCATCCCCACTTCCCATAATCCAGGGAAAATCAGATTTCTCCCGTTCCTGACACTGCAGATCGTGTTTATCTCCCCCGATTTGGAAGGGATTCACTTGGGATCTGTCCTGCCCATCCCTAAAAGCCTCTGGAGCTGGACATTCCTGCCCCGTGGAGGGAGGAAAGGCCACCCCGAGCCTTTCAACTCCCTCATTCTAAGCGGATCCAGAGGAGCGAGAGACGCCCTGGAATTACTTCAGGCTTTGGCAGCTCCTCGGGGGCCGCTCGCCCAAAAAGCTTCAAAGCGTTGGGAATTTTGGGATCCAGCCCAGGGCAGCGGCTCCTCCTCGCCGGCTTTTGCTGTTGGTTTGGGGGTCCGGGTGTTCCCTGGAGCGATCCCGAGGGAATTCGGGGCTCGGGCTCCCCGCGTGTCCCCCTCGGCAGGGACAGGGACAAATCTCTTCCCTCGGTCCCGTTCCAAGTCCCCGCTCCGGGCTGCAGCGGGACCCTCCCGAAGTTTGGGGCTGTGGCACGGAGGAAAAGGAGCTCGCGGGTTCCCCCGAGTGTGATTTTTTTCCTGTTTTTTTTTTGTGGTGGTGGAGCGGGGAGCAAACTCCCGAGCTCATCCATTGCCTCCTGCCTTCCACTGGCCATGGAATTTCGGGTTTTGTCACACTTCCCGGTGAACTCGGGAGCCAGCTCCCAAAAATCACCCTTTTCCCACCGAGTCATCAGAAAATCTGGGAATTCTTGGCTTGGGAGGGGATTTAAGCTCAAGGCTTTCTCCCTGTTCGGTGCCCGCGGCTGATGGGAGAGCCGGGAGCGCTGCGCAGCCCCGGGAGCGGCTCGTGGATGGAATTCCAGCCCGGGAAGGAATGGCCGGTGGGATTTGGGGCTCGCTCCATGCACGGAAACGTTTTCCCAAAGTCTGCCGGTGCTCAGTGCCCGGCTGAGGGGTCGGGACGCTGCGAAGGGAGGATGGAGAGCTCGGGAAATCGGGATTTAGGAACGGGAGGTGCTGAAGGAGGCACCTTCCCCGGGGGCTCGGGGGAAGCCGAAGCCTCGCCGGGAGCTGCGGGCGGCTGGAGCCGCTGCCGGAGCCGGGAACTGTCCGAGGTGGCGGCGGAGCATCCCCAAATCCCGGCGTGTCCTTCCCGGGGGCCGGAGGAGCCGGTGGCGAGCGGGCAGGAGTGGCCAGCGGGGCGTGGGCGGTGGCCGGAGGGTGCCGGGGCTTGTCCTGCGGCCACGGGAGCTTATCTCGCTCTTATCAGCGCCGTGGGGGCACGCGAGCGCCGAGCGGGGACAGGGAGGGACACGGCGACGTCAGCACGGGGAGCCACCGGGAGCAGCGCGGTCCTTAATGAGGGGCGGGCTAATGAGCCGGCTAATGAGCGGGTGTGCCGCGTCAGGGAAGGAGCAGGTGGGGACAGCAGGGGCAGCGCGGGGGACACCGGCCCGGCCCAGGGGGGACTGAAGTGGAGCTGGAGGCCAAAGGCGGCCCCGGGACTGAGCCCGGGAGCCGCTGCCGGAATTCCCGGAGTTTCCCAGCGGGAAGCGGCTCCGCGGCCGGGCTGGAGCAGCTGCGGCTGCAGGAGGGGTCCATGCCCACGGCACGGGGGGCACGAGCGGAGCTCCAGGCTCCTTCCAGCCCGGGGCATTCCCTGACTGTGCCGCGATGTTGGGGATGGCAGCTGGAGCCGTTTCCTCGGCTGCGGCGGTGCCGGTGCCGCCCTCGCTCCGCCCGTGCCCGGCTCGGGGAGCCCCGAGCCCCGGTCAGGCCGGGACAGCCCCAGGGATGGGGCGGCTCTGGGGGTCCTTGGCTGTGCCCCCTTCTTGGGGCTTTCCCCGAATCCCAGAGTGGTTCCCGTGCTGGGATCTGCCCGATCCCGGGGGATCCTGAGCTCCGTCCTTCTCTTGGCGCTGCTTTCGCTCAGATCTCGGCTTCTTTCCCGACATCGGCCTCAGAGCCGATTTTTCCCATGATTTCTCCTCACCTCCAGGATTTAATTGAAGCCTTTCCTGCCCCGGAGTGTCGCTGGCTGTCCCGGGGTCACCGCTGGGCTTGCCCTGGTGCCTGGGCAGGCTCTGGCAGGGCTCGGTGCCGATCCCAGGTGTTTGCCCTGCCCTGGAAGTGCTTTTTTGTAATTTTCCACCCCAAAACCCAATCGTTTTCGCGACTTTGCTGCTCGCACAGTGCAGAGAAGGCCCGCAAGGCTCTGGCCGCTGTCCTTTCGGCCCCAATTCCCAGTGCTGAGCTCCCCAAGTCCCCTTGTCCGCAGCGGGCCCCATGTCCCAACCCGCAGGTGCCACCCTGGGAGGCTGCCCCGTGTCCTGCTCTGACTGCTGTTGCCCCAGGGGGTTCAGGGTGGATTTCCTGAGGGTTCCCGGTGTCCTCTGGGTCTGGCCCAGTTCCCTGGGAACCTCTGAGCAGCTCGCCGAGCTCATCCCGGTGTCCCCGAGCTCCCAGGCCACTGTCCCTGTGCAGAGCCCGCTCGGGGACCCTGCGGGGCTGCTCCCTGGGATGGGGATGGGGAGCGGGATCCCCCTGTGAGGACCAGGAGCAGGGGTGGGGTGCCTCGGGCACGGGCCCGGCTCGGCGGAGGCCGCTGCGGGTGCGGAGCGAGGCCGGGACCAGCCGGGGCCGGCGAGGTTTGGGGCTTCGGGAGCTGCAGGGAGCAGCAGATTTGGGCCCAGATTGGCGGCGGGGAGGAGGAGAGAAGCCGCAGCGCCGGGCTGGCACCTCCCAAGCGCTGGGCAGCCCCTCCCTGGGCTTGGCCCCGCTCCCCCCACCCTTTGGCGGGGATAAAAGGCCCCCGGCAGCAGCCAGGGCACGGCACAGCCGCTCCAGCCCCGAGACAGCAGCAGCTGCCCCTCAGCTCCGGCTCCTCCGCCGCCAGCACCGCGACCCCCGAAGCTGCAGCCATGGGTAAGGGACCCCCCGGCCTCGCCCCGCAGCGCCGGGGATGCAGAGGGATTGACCGTGCTGGAGCTTCCAGCGTGTGCGTCTCCGGGTGACAGCTCTGTCCCCATCCTGTCCCGGCTCAGGGGACAGCTCTGTCCCCATCCCGGCTCCGGGTGACAGCTCTGTCCCCATCCCAGCTATGGGTGACAGCTCTGTCCCCATCCCAGCTCCG